TGAGAGCAGTGGATGCCGTTTAACTCAACTTCAGAAAGGTTTTCAAAACTGTTTCCCATAATATCCTCATAGACAAGCTGACAAAGCATGGGTTAAGTAAATTGACAGTGAAGTGGACTGAAAACTGCCTGAATTGCTGGGCTCAGGAGTTTTTGATCAGCAATACAAAGTCCAGCTGGACAAAGTTCACTAGTGGTGTGTCCCAAGGGTTGATACTGGGGCCAACACTGTATAACATATTCATTAACAACCTGGAAAAAGTGCACCCTCAGCAAGTTTGTAGATAATACAAAACTGGAAGGAGCGTCTGATGATTGTGCTGCCATTCAGAGTGGTCTCAAAGGCTGAAGAAATGGACCAACAGGAATCTCAATTGCCACAGAATCACAGAATGGTTAAGGTTGGAAAGGACCTCTGGACATTCCCCTGCGCACACACTCAAGTAAGGTCACCTAGACCATGTTCAGATGGTCCAGAACCACCATTCTGTGTTTAGGTAAACATACGCTATATGCTGCTACCAAGGCTGAGATGTTGGGCTCAGTGGAAACTTGGTTTGACTTAATATCCACTTGCCCACTCACCTGGGTCACTTTACAGAATTTTCCCCTATATAATACTAAGAAGGATATGTTCTGCTGAAAATTCATTTCATTTGTCCTGTAATAGAGACTTTCTCCAGTTATAAATGGTGCACTCTATCTAATTATACCCTTACATTATACATAATTTAGATGCTATGAACATTATGATATGTTCATCTTGCCACCTGACAGCTTTCTGAACTTGTTCAGTAGCTGCTTTTGAAACAGCAGGGTATGGCTGGTCTGCGCAGGTGAAACCTGGTCTAATAGTGAGACAGTGTTACATCAGTGTTAGCAGTACATGCTGGAAAACCAGCTGTCTGGAAAATTACATGCAGGGACATTGCAACCAAGTGCAAATAAATAATGTACATGCCAGCACTTCAGTAGCTGCTGATTGGTTGCTACAAAGCAACAAAGGACAGAACTGAACTTGGAGTACAGCCGTGTATCTCTGAAATCAGAGTCTAAGTGAGAGTCAGTCTTCAATTCAGAATTCCTTAGGTGTAAGTAGCATCCCTGCAGTGGACATAACCCATGGCGTTTTTGAGAAAAGCAATAGATACATTTTATTAAAAAAAAAATAATAAAAAAAAAGGATCTGCAATTTTAAACGTAAGCAGTAAAAGCATAATTGCAAGTTAGCTCTGTAAGTGGCTGTAAGAGTGTATGGAGATGCTGTTGGAAACTTACCATAGGTGCATAGAAGATTGTGGGCAAGACTCCTCTTACTATTTCTGTTGTTGTTGTCCTCGTAAAATGGTGTATCAGCCTTTGACTTCCTCTAAAGTAAATCTGTAGTCCTCTTCATCAGATGGCTTGGGTGACAACTGAATAAAAGGATTAATTGGTTCAATGGATCAATCTAATAATTAGTAGAATCTGTATGACCCATTTCAAGTGTGTGTCCAGAATTTTCTTCTCTCCCAGACACACAAATGTACATACAAACTGCAGTGTCTGCAGAAACCAGTAGTTTATTTTAATTGCCAAAGTTAAAGCAAAACAGGTTTCTTATGTATTTTCCAGAAAGTTCTAAGAAATATGATCTTGTTTTGCTACTGAATCAGAAGTTATTAGAAATCTGTGCTGTGTATTGTGTTCCCATATCACTGTGATAATGAAATCACTCCCAGATTTTCAACTCTTTTCATGTTTGAACACAAATTAGTACTTCTCATCTTTTTTTTTTTTTCCTTAGTACCATGAGCAAGAAGCAAATCCATATGGCACATCCAATAAATGAACTTCTAATTTCCTTGTAGGAAAGCTATTGTCTTGCAAAAATAAGAGATCGTATGTGTGCTTATCCAAGTTACAAAAGCTGTAGGGTATTTAAGATGCCAACTTTAATCCCTAAGTTACTTTGAAGTCTCTTATGCAGATAACCTCCTGAAAGACAGACCTATTTCACCTTTTCTTTACAACCTCAAAGCTACTAAAGTAATAATATTTTGCTGTGGACTTTTTTTTATTACTGAGATATAATGCTCTACCTTTTATAGGTGTATAATATTCATTAAACTTACCTAGAGCAAATGCAGAATATGAACATGGCACATGGTACTGTGCCAGTAGAGATCAGAAGCAAGTTTAAATGGATTTGATATCTCAGCCTTCACTGGTAAGGCACCTGGTGAAGAAGAAAATAATTTAGATTGGAAGAAAACGGTTGAAGCCAACTGTTCAATTTCCCATTCAAAGCACATACAGCTAGATAACATGGCTTTGTTGTACTGGGATGTCTTCAGTGGACACAGCATTCCTACTACTACTCCAGGGATTCCACAGGTACATAGCAAATAAAAAACAGACTAGGGAAAATATAGGCCCCCTCAGGAAGCTCTTGGGAGAACTGGCTACACAGGATTTGGAGAAGGCTGAGGTTCTGAATGTCTTCTTTGCCTCGGTCTTCACTGGCAAAGGCTCTGACCAAACCACCCAAGTCTTGGAAGGCAGATGCAGGGCCTGTGAGAATGAAGACCTTGGGCCCATTGTAGGAGAGGAACTGGTTCGAGACCATCTTAAAAATCTGAACATGCACAAGTCCATGGGGCCTGATGAGATCCATCAGGATCCATGAGATTCAGCGGGTCCTGAAGGAGTTGCTGAATGAAGTTGCGAAGCAGCTGGCCATCATATTTGAAAAATCATGGCAGTTAGATGAAGTTCCCAATGACTGGAAAAAGGGAAATATAACCCCCATTTTCAAGAAGAGGAAAATGGATGACCCAGGGAATTACAGACCAGTCAGTCTCACCTCTGTGCCTGGCAAAATCTTGGAGCAGATTCTCCTGGAAGGCATGCTAAGGCACATGAAAAACAACAAGGTGCTTGGTGACAGCCAGCATGGCTTCACTAAGGGGTAATCCTGCCTGACCAATTTGGTGGCCTTCTATGATGGGGCTACAGAACTGATGGACAGGGGTAGAGCAGTTGATGTCATCTACCTGGACTTGTGCAAAGCGTTCGACACTGTCCCACACAACATCCTTGTCTCTAAATTGGAGCGACATCAATTTGATGGATGGACCACTCGGTGGATAAAGAACTGGCTGGATGGCCGCACACAAAGAGCTGTGGTCAATGGCTCAATGTCCGTCTGGAGACCAGGAACGAGTGGTGTCCCTCAGGGATCGGTGTTGGGACTGGTCTGGTTTAACATCTTTGTCGCTGACATGGACAGTGGGATTGAGTGCGCCCTCAGCAAGTTTGCCGATGACACCAAGCTGTGTGATTTGGTTGATACGCTGGAGGGAAGGAATGCCATCCAGAGGGTCCTTGACACACTCGTGAGGTGGGCTGATGCCAACCACATGGAGTTTAACCATGCGAAGTGCAAGGTCCTACACCTGGGTCAGAGCAATCCCAGGCACAGCTACAGGTTGGGCAGAGAAGAGAGTCAGAGCAGCCCTGCGGAGAAGGACTTGGGGGTGTTGGATGATGAGCCGGCTTCAGTGTGTGCTCACAGCCCAGAAAGCCAACCGTATCCTGGGCTGCATCAAAAGCAGCATGACCAGCAGGTCGAGGGAGGTGATCCTGCCCCTTTACTCTGCTCTTGTGAGACCTCACCTGGAGTATTGTGTGCAGTTCTGGTGTCCTCAACATAAAAAGGACATGGAACTGTTGGAACAAGTCCAGAGAAGGGCCACGAGGATGATCAGGGGACTGGAGCACCTCCCATATGAAGATAGGCTGAACAGTTGGGGCTGTTGAGCCTGGAGAAGAGAAGGCTGCGTGGAGACCTCATAGCAGCCTTCCAGTATCTGAAGGGGGCCTATAGGGATGCTGGAGAGGGACTCTTCATTAGGGACTGTAGTGATAGGACAAGGGGTAACGGGTTAAAACTTAAACAGGGGAAGTTTAGGTTGGAAATAAGAAGGAAATTCTTTCCTGTTAGGGTGGTGAGGCACTGGAGTGGGTTGTCCAGGGAGGTTGTGAATGCTCCATCCCTGGCAGTGTTCAAGATCCGGTTGGACGAGGCCTTGGGTGATATGATTTAGCGTGAGGTGTCCGTGCCCATGGGAGGGGGGTTGGAACTAGATGATCTTAAGGTCCTTTCCAACCCTAACCATTGTATGATTCTATGATTCTATGATTCTATATGGCCTCACCAGTGCTGAGTCAAGGAGAAGAATCACTTCTGCTGACTTGCGGGCAAAATTCTTGCTAATAATCTCAGTATGCTGTCAGCCTTCTTTGCTGTGAGGGCACATTGCTGGACTCTGTTCACATAGTTTTCTTCAAAGACACAAAGCTTCTTCGGCAATGCACTTCCCATCCAGTCAGCTCCAGCCTGTACTGGTGCCTGGAGTTATTCCTCCCCATGGGCAGGACTTTGCATTCTCCTCTGGTGAACTTCATGAGATTCTTGTCAATCCTGTTCTCCAGCCTATCAAAATTCTTCTGAATGGCAGTTCTACCCTCCTATATATGAATTACCTTTATTAACCAAGGTCTTATATATAATTTGAATGTGTTCGTTGGACATTTAACGCGGGTACAATTCTAAGGACCATATTCTAACAGGCTCTTACAGAAATATCTGCATAGATCTCATTAGAAACATTTGTAGGGTAAAAAAGATTCAAGGTTCAGACTTACTTAGGCACTGAATTGCTGCTTGTTTCAGCAGGAAGCACCCAAATAGCTTAGATGTTCTAGAGGTAAGGCATTACTCAATGTAAAATTAAGTCTTTGAAATTCCAGCCCAGAACTCATTTGCTGATATCTATTACTCTGGCAGAAAAAAAGGTGGAAAGTGGCATTTGCAAATTATATACTATTTTTGTCGTGTGCATAAGTTACTTCCCCATGAATCTTTGTCAAAACCAGGATAATTTCAAAATTGTAGTGTGCCTGACTCATTGAGGGAGGGGATGGGAAACTCATATGAAAATTTTTACCAGTACTCATCTTGGTTCCTCACCAAAATCAAGAAGCACACACACTGTGAAGATCCTTCTTGCACTTTACAGGAGGGTCTGTAAGTAATGCTTATGGTTATTATAAAGGAACTGCAGATAGTAGTCATGGACTGTGTTAGCTGTTCTAAGGTAGAACAACTTGCTTTGAGTTAATTGTTAAGTTAATTGCATTTTACTGATTGGAAGGTCTGTGAAACAACTTAGTCCTAAGCTGTCCCAAAACTATGTCTGGTGATACTATATGTTGGAGAAGGCTGACTAGTAACCTCTCATCTTTCCTTCCATCCCTCATACTGGATTTTTTTGTGTTTTGTAGAGTTGTTTTTGTCAATCAGCAAACTACCATTTGGGCTTCCCAAACTGTGCCTCCATTCCTGCCTGCACTTTAAAGGAAGAATCTGTCTGTGGGTTTGCTGTACCAGAACTTCCAAAAGTAACATGGCCCACAGTGTTATGTGTCCATTTTCTATGGTTTCCCACAACACATTTTCTGTGTCCTGCTCAGAGTGTTCAGCTCTGTCAAATATCTGTGCTTGCAATACAGAAACGTAGGGAGATGTTCATCTCACCTAGCTTTGGATAACTCTGAGTAATTCAGACTGTTTTGATAGTCAAGATAGAGAAAAAGCTGTCATAGAATGCAATCCATCTCATGTGAAGGTGGACTTCTAAACCAGGTCTGAAGTAGAGCTCTGGGTAATATCCCTTTTCTCCTCCCTGACAGAAAGACAGGTAGCTCAGATGTGGACACAACAGAATCACAGAACAACAGAATCACAGAATGGTTTGAGTTCAAAGGGACATTTAAAGATCATCTAGTCCAACACCCAATGCTATTGATATTAGATGACATTTAAACAATTTGTGGCATCCTAAAGACTTCATAATATCTTGCAGTGTTCAGAGTTTTCCTGTGCCATGTATTTCAAATACATGCAGAAAAAGAGATGTTGAGCAGTTGTTATTTTTGTTTGGTTTGCATGTGTATAAATTGCTGTTTTATTTGCATTGCTATGTTGTTGAGCATTTCAAGTTTCTATGTGCACATATTTGATTAGATATTTCAGTCCTTGCCTGTGTTTGTTGTGTTTAGTGCCACTTACTCTCCTTCTCCCTGCAGTTAAAAGCAAACAATGTGAACATAAGAAATGAGAGGAGTCTCAACGAAACCCTGGGGATAGTTCAAATAGCATTGCTGGATTTTTGATTGAGCTTTTATTTCTTTGCTGAATGCCCTGCATTGACCAAAGGAAATAATGTGAGACTCCCTCCTGTATTTTCCTTCTTACTAAACCATAATTCAGTGTTTTTTTTTCTTATGGTATCCAAAAAAGGGAAGTCATTCTCTTACATTTCAATGTAACTGATTCAGGCTAGGAGAGAAGGCTGCTGAAACAGCCAAAAAAGGAAACACTTGGTTTTGTGTTCTTATTGTGTGCTTTCTCTTCCTTAATTCCTGTGTAAAATCCAAACAGCATTTATGAGGCAAAGATCACTGTGTAGCTGAAGCTTTAGCATCAATAGGATATAAGTTTCCCATTTAACCTAATGTCTCTCTTAGACTTTATTTTATTACATTAATTTCAGTACATCACAAGCCTTAAGGAAGTATGGCCCAAACTCCTTGCTGGAGAGGCTCCTTTTCAGAGTTTGTTCTTCTAATTACTTCTGCCAGCATGACATATGGTAGATGAATATCACATTTCCAGATATGAGTAAGTATTTCCTAGAGAGGGAAAATAAGGCACAGAAAGGTTCTCTTTAGACTCTACAGAAAAATCAGGTTCAAAGGCAGAGCTGAAAGCACAAGAGTTTCCAGCTCCCCTCTGTGGCATATATCACAAGAAACTCTGGTGGAAAGAAATTTGCACTTAAGAGCAAGAAACTGCTTTCCAAGAATAATTCTTTCCTTATGCTACATAAATAACGGTAGCAGCCCCCACATTACTTAATGCTACAGGACAGAAGAAAAAATACTTTGCTTCAGACTGCAACAGAAATGAAGGTTTTATACTTGTTCTTTATTCAGCCTCCTGTTAAAATTCATACCTGCACCTAACAGCTTCAGGAGAGCTTCTGTGATTTATGTTTTCAACAGGAGTCATTCCAGAAAGCACTCAAGGTTTACTATTTCTTTAAGCATTGAATTAGCCTTTTTATTCAGGCCAAAGATTTATTTCTACCTCTGAGCCAGAGTGTTATTTTCTCTTCCCAAGCATTCACAGCTGTTTAAGTGCCTGCTGATAGAAGAATTTTCAACCTCCACATATTTTAGGGTTACAGTTTTCATCCTTTGCGTAGTTCTCCTGTGCTGAGTATCTACGACTGCTACTGATGTCTTATGACAGGAAATGGAGGTATCAGACAAGCTACAGAGATACATGCTGTGAGTCTGATGCTGACCCCAGCAGTGGCTGAGCTCTGAGATGAGCTCCCTAGGGGATGGGAATGCTCCCTTTCCCAACACCCATGCCACATGAGCACCCATGCCACAGGGTCCAAAACCCAGTGGACTTTTATGATGTCTTTTCTGCCTTAGAATTTTAGGTTCATGTAGGTTAGGGGCAAACCTGTGATATATATGTTGAGTGTTGCAGTAATCAAATGTGACAGTATTGAATATGCCCTGTAAAAGAGACTTCCTGATTATTTTCAAGTTCTGTCTATATTTTGCAAGTCTCCAGCCTCCTGGTCCACAAGCATGGCTTTTGTTAATTCTAGGACTTTGTTCTTGACTCTTTTTCCAGTTCTTAGATACAGTCATGCCAAACTCCTCATCACATATTGCAGCCATTTACTGAATGCTTATAAACATTAACAGGAAGACACCATAACCACACAGAGAATCATAGAATCATAGAATAGTAGGGTTCGAAAGGACCTTAAGATCAGCTAGTTCCAACCCCCCTGCTATGGGGAGGGACACCTCACACTAAACCATGTCACCCAAGGCTTTGTCCAGCCTGGCCTTGAACACCACCAGGGATGGAGCATTCACAACCTGCCTGGGCAACCCATTCCAGTGCCTCACCACTCTCACAGTAAAGAACTTCTTCCTTATATCCAATCTAAATTTCCCCTGGCATTCCTTCCCTCCAGGGTATCAACCGAACCACACAGCTTGGTGTCATCGGCAAACTTGCTGAGGGCGCACTCAATCCCACTGTCCATGTCAGCGACAAAGATGTTGAACAAAACCGGTCCCAACACCGATCCCTGAGGGACACCACTCGTTCCTGGTCTCCAGACGGACATTGAGCCATTGACCACAACTCTTTGTGTGCGGCCATCCAGCCAGTTCTTTATCCACCGAGTGGTCCATCCATCAAATTGATGTCGCTCCAATTTAGAGACAAGGATGTCGTGTGGGACAGTGTCGAACGCTTTGCACAAGTCCAGGTAGATGACATCAACTGCTCTACCCCTGTCCATCAGTTCTGTAGCCCCATCATAGAAGGCCACCAAATTGGTCAGGCAGGATTTCCCTTAGTGAAGCCATGCTGGCTGTCACCGAGCACCTTGTTGATTTTCATGTGCCTTAGCATGCCTTCCAGGAGAATCTGCTCCAAGATTTTGCCAGGCACAGAGGTGAGACTGACTGGTCTGCAATTCCCTGGGTCATCCATTTTCCCCTTCTTGAAAATCGGGGTTTTGTTTCCCTTTTTCCAGTCATTGGGAACTTCACCTGACTGCCATGATTTTTCAAATAGGATGGACAGTGGTTTAGCAGCTTCATTTGCCAGCTCCTTCAGGACCCATGGATGGATTTCATCAGGTTCCATGGATTTGTGTGTGTTCAGGTTAAGATGGTCTTGAACCAGATCCTCTCCTACAGTGGGCCCAAGGTCTTCATTCTCACAGTCCCTGTGTCTGCCTTCCAAGACTTGGGTGGTGTGGTCAGAGCCTTTGCCAGTGAAGACTGAGGCAAAGAAGTCATTCAGGACCTCATCCTTCTCCAAATCCATGGTAGCCACTTCTCTTCTTCAGGGGAGGGCCCACCTTGTCCCTAGTCTGTCTCATATTTGCAATGTAACTATAGAATCCCTTCCTGTTATCCTTAACATCCCTAGCCAAATTTAATTCTAACTGGGCCTCAGCTTTCCTAACCTGGTCCCTAGCTTCCCAGACAACATCCCTGTACTTTTCCCAGGCCACTTGTCCTTGCTTCCACCTTATATAAGCCTCTTTTTTCCTTTGAATTTTCCTCAGCAGCTCCTTATCCATCCAAGGAGGTCTCCTGTGCCTCCTGCTGCACTTCCTTCTAGTTGGGATGCAACACTCCTGAGCTTGTAGCATGTGATCCTTGAATATAAACCAAGACTCTTGGGCCCCCCCTGCCCTCTAGGGCTATATCCCATGGAACCTTCCTAAGCAGGTTCCTGAAGAGGCCAAAGTCTGCTCTTTTGAAGTCCAGGGCAGTGAGCTTGCTGCACGCTCTTCTCACTGTCCTGACAGTCACAACCATCTCATGATCTCTGCATCCAAGGCTGCCCTGGAGCGTTGCATTTCCAACGAGCCCTTCCCTGTTGGTGAGCACGAGGTCAAGCATGGCACCTCTCCTTGTCGGCTCCTCTATTACTTGCAGAAGGAAGTTGTCTTCTACACAATCGAGGAACCTCCTGGATTGCTTGTGCCAGGCCTTACCGTCGCCCCAACAGATATCAGGGTGGTATATACATACAAACACACAAAACCATGTAGAAACTCTGCTTAAGAATAGCTGTAAAATCAGTGCAGTAAAAGAAAACTCAAAATGTGCTATTTTCTCAGATGAATGGGTTTGCATAATATTACAGTAATGGTAGCTTTTTTTGCATTTTCTTTTTTTATGGCTTCTTAAATGAAGAACAGAACTTCAAATCTATTTACTGTACAGGGCAATTTTTCTTAGATCTACAAATAAGATGAAAGGCATGTACTGTTTGATCTAACAAGTTTAGGATTCACTGCCAGGGTTTGCTGGCTGTTAGGTCTAGTTCGACTTGACTCCAGGAGTATGAACATCTCCTTTTTAACTAAGCTTCGTAAAAATGCCTCGTTAATATCTAACTTGGTAGGAAGAGGGCAAAGCACCATCCATGAAAGCAGAGAACAAGTCTCATGGCAAAGCTGGAGCCTGGTGGCTTGTGTGCTACCTCTGCTTCCCATTTCACTTGCACTGCTTTGCCAAACACATGGTGACTTCTACACACTTTGGGGACATTAATTAGCTAATTTTGCTCTGTGAAAGAGCTTCTAATTGATGTTATACTCAGTTTACAGCTGAATTCACTGAGGCCCTGAAGGAAGGCAATTTCTTCAGCCTGCCCAAGCAGAGTTATAGTGCTAAAGATGGAGCCTACCCTGAGAGCTGCTGACCTCCGTTAATCCCTACTGAAGCAGTTAAGCACCAAAAAACTCAGCATCTTTCAGGATAGTCCTCAGCACTATAAAGGATCAGACTCAAATGAGGCCAAGGAAAAACAGCACAGCAAGCACAGCAGTCCAAGAAGGTCCCAGCTGAGGTCAGGTGCCTGCTTCAATCACCCTCAGCTTCTGTTGCATGCAAAGCCAATAATGACATAACTATTAACTAATTACAGTGACAGGAAGGAGAAAGTGGTACAATGAGTGCTAGCAGAATTCACAAAGTCAAATGCCAGTATACAAAATAATAGTTTAGTTCCTGACTACCTGCTGTGTTTAAGCTAAACAAAAGACAAAGTAGTATCTTCAGGATGTATTTGTGAAGAAAACTGTTCCCTATTTAAGAAAAAATTGCAACAGTTTATTTTATTTAATTAGCATTTCATTTGCTCTGAGGGTAATATGCATATATATTGATCTTGCATCTTTGGACAAATTGCACTATATTATGCTGTAAAAGAAGAAGGAAAGATAGTGAGAGCTGGGCTGTCTCCCATCAAACTGAATTGAATCTCACAGAAATACCTTGTAACTTGTAGAATGGACATGGTGGTAGGCAAAGGAGATTGTGGCAAGTACAAGCAATCAGGGTTGAAAGTGTATATGAACCAATTTGTAGCTGCATTATCCCAGGAGAGACACAAAGAAGGACTGATGGCTTTGAAACATACTTCCTTCCCTCTGTACTGACCCACCTCCAGCTGAAAAAGATCTTCATTCCTCCATCCCTGGGAAGTGTGCACAGGCTGTCCGCCCGTTCCTCCCTTCCTGGCAGCTACTCTGGCTGCTCCCTGTCTGTCAAACTGTGCTCCCCTGCATCAGGGTACTAATGGGAAGTCCTCATGCTCCCCTCTTCCCCTTCTCAGTGCCCATGTAAGGCAAAGCTAGCACCTGCATGGAAGCACTGGATGCTACCAGAGGCTTGTGTCCCTCTTGTGCATATACACACAAATATATGTACATAGGAACCACTGTGTCTATATAGCAAAGGAGAAATCAAAGTTTACAGAAAGAAAAAAGGCAAAAATACTTGGAAAAAAAAAAGCTAGAATACCTTTTATAGTCATCTCTTCCATGTTTATATATGTGATACTAGGGACAAGGATTTGGGTCTCACACAGGCGGGTCAGCCACAGTGTGAGTCAGACCTTTTGCAATGTGAAGTACTGCTAAAAGCACATCACTGTCAGAAGTGTGATCCTGTAACTAACAGTATTTTTGTTTTTCTTTCCTTTTAGTTTGAGCCCTCACAATGTCAACATCAGAAGAAAATGCAAACATTTGTCTCGATAGCCCAGAAAGCATGGGGAATTTTTATATCCGAAAGGAAACCTGGCTGGAAGTACCTGATTCAGCTTTTTGCAGTTTGCTCTGCAGTTGGCTTTGTCTCAAGCTTTCTGTTGTTCCTTGGCATGCGCTTTTCCCTGGCACACAGTCCTTTGGGTCCCTTACTGATAGCTGGATTCATCTGGATTTTGCTTTCTATCATGCTCTCGTGTTTCAAGCACCTGCGCTGCTTTAGTGTCCTGTTCCTTTTTTCTTGCGGACTGCGAAATGGCAGGAATGCACTTATTACGGCTGGTACAGGTGTCATGGTGGCTGGCAACATCCAAAATATATTTCACAACCTAAAGGTTCTGGCAGACAGTATAACCTGTCATTTAGAGTATGAAGAATTTGCCTTGATAAAATATTATATTGAGGCAGTAAAATGGATTTATGAGATGACCAAGCTTTCCTCTGATCTATTTAAACATATAGTGTTTCCAAGGCACGAATTCACAACATCTTATTCAATTTCAGATGATGCATTAAAACAAGAGCTAAATGACACAAAGCAAGAAATCCAGAGAGTTGCTAACGAGGTATCTTTTATGCTGACTATACTGCCCTATATAGGCCAGAAAGTACTGCCTATAGTGGGGATTTTTCTAGCTTCTTTTGGAACCAGCCTCTTTATCAAAAAATTTGTGGGTTCTCACAGTGCCAAATATAAGAATACTTACATCACAAAAGAGTTCATTATATTTGATGAGCGCCAAAAGCAACAGCAAAGACCCTGTCTTCTGCCACTTAACAAAAAAGAAAGAAGAGATTATGTAATAATCCCATCTTTCTGCCTCACAAGGAAGGACAGAAAAAACATGCAGTATTTTTTCTTTCCTGTAATTATTCATCTTTGCATCTGGCTTCTGTTTGCTGCAGTAGATTATTTGTTTTATTGGTTAATTGTTTCTGTGAGTAAACACCTCCAAGAAATACCAGATATAGAGATTCAGCTCAGCCTCTTTCAGCAAGTAAGCACTTATCAGTACTTTCTTAGTTTATTATTTTTTATTATTATCCTAGTATATTTCTTAGTTTAAAGTTGAAAAAGTTCTCTTCATCTTCAGCATCTGCTTGAGCAGACACACAACCATCAATTCTTTCCTAGCATTATCATTTGTTTGTTTCAAAAAGGACCACTACCTTTACAGATACGTGTGCTGGATGGAAACAGCTCTCTGCACTTTCCAAAGTGTCATTATATTTCTAGAGAATGGTAAATATAGGAAGAAGGACTTTCATTACTCTATTTACACTCTTCTGGAGAAGACCAGAAGCTTAAAACTGGAAACTCACAATGCTGACATGTGTGAATTGCCACTTTTATAGTCAAATGCCACTATGACACTGATGTAAGAGATGTCTACCTTTTTATAGCTCAGTAGTATGAGGAGCTCATCATTTAAATAAGCTTGGATACATACACATGAAATAACACACTGCTGAAATTACAAGGTTCTTCTAGCAGGAGCAGTAGCAGCATGGAGAACCGTGGAGGCCATCTACACCAAGCTCATGATAAAAACAAGGTCAACTTCAGAGGTGGATCAGATTGCTCAGGGTCTAGTCTGAATGCTTCTAAAGCTGGAGATTTCACCACTGGAGTGTAGGACCCATGTGATGCCGTGAAATGCACCAGAAAGCCGCCCAGTTTGACAGCTTGCATGATCAGGCTTAAAACAGTTCTCAAAAGCGTATAACCATTCGATACTTTCAAGATAATAAGATTTCAAAGGGATGCATGATTTTTAGTACAATACGATATATTCTTCTATCAATTTTTTTTTATTCCACTTTTCTATTACTTCCTCTTAGAGCTCATAATAATGACAATTTATTTCCGCTTATTCCCATTCCCCAAACATTCATCTAGCCAAAAGCAATTACACAGAGTAAGATAACTAAAGTGAGCACTGCAATAAGTGCATTGCTTGAAATTACAAGGAAACAAAAGAGGACATACAACCTTTGGCAGAGACATTCCCATTATCATTTTTCCATATGTGACATACTGAAGCTTTGAGATGGCGTCTTCAGCCAGACCACATTTTCTATGACACGCTGCTGAGCCACTACAGGTTCATCTTAGACAGTGTATTGCAGACTGGTGGTCCCTGTGTGTCACAGGATGTTCATCTGGTGGGGACTGAACCATGAAGGGGAAGGGAGGTGTAGTACACAGCGCCCTTGAAGAATGGCAGCACTTCAGACAAAAGTGAACTACTAACAAAATTAGCTGAAAATCAAGCTGCTGATCAAATTCTGTCATACACACTGCTCTGCTGTTTTACTCTGAGGGAAGGACCCTCAAAAGAGGATCTGAGCAGATTATTGGGAATATATTAAACCATGATAGCCAGATTAGTTAAATACTTACCTATCAGAGACACTGAGAAGGTAAGTAAGTTCCAAACCGTGGGACAGTGTCCCAAGAGAAATGGTGTAAATGCAGTCTGAAATAATTAGAAATAACCAATAAATGCATTGTTATGAGCATAGAAAATATATTGACACTGGATTGACTAGACGATTTATGGTCCTTGTAAACCTGAATGCCCAATGGGAGAAATATTAAGAAAGGAAGGAATCAGTACTATACTAAACTCTCCCTTTTTCTTGTGCAGAGGAATGAGAACAGCTTTATCTTTGATATGAGGGAGCATATTGCAAAGACTGATCCTTTCAAGATCTCTTTGTTTAAGCATGACTGCCTCCCTCAGCCAGAGCTTGCACTCTCCACAACATGGATCCAGCTTGGAGTCATCATCTTCTTCTTAATCATTTTTGGGTTATTCTCTGGCTTCCTGACCCAACTTAAAATACTCGTGTTGACTTCATTTTATCCTGACACAGAGATGAAACGGATACATTACTTGCATGCAAAATTACTGAAGAAAAGAGCAAAGCTACAAGAGAAAACTGGGAAGAACACGTTTGCTAAAATGGTGAGCCATCAACTCCAAGGGAAAAAATAATCTCCCACTGTCAGGGTGGTAGCTATACTAACTATAGAGGATGTAAGTGCTTGGGTGATCTCTAACTCAGTAACACTATGATCATAGTATCATATTTATGTCTTTTCAGGTCAACTTTTGGTTTCCAATACTGAAGGCAAGAGAATCAGTGAGGAAGAAAGAAAGGAGTATGTCAAGGGACAGCAGGGTGTAGAAGAGACAAATGAATCTTTGGCTAAGGCAGAGATGCTCTAGCTCCACAGGAACCTGTGTTTTGCACACAGAATGGCACAGCTTGTTTGTCGTCTTCATGTTTGCCAGACACTGAAGATAGAAGATGCATCAGAGGTTGCTCATTGGCTTCTGGGCTGGCCAAGAACCTAACTATAGGGCTTAGAATTTTCTAGACTTTTCTATTTTTCAACCTTCAACTGCCCCAAATCCTTCAGCCTGGTTCTTCACCATCTCTAGCTCCATATACCTGCTCCTGACTCTGCAGCAGTCTCTTCTGCAGGGTGAATGCTTTATTTGCTCTGTCAATCTTCCAGCTCAGTTGAACTCTCCCTCACACTTTGGCTTCCCTACTTACTTTTGGTTATGCATCTCTCAGAAGTTTCTAATCCTAGTCTCCCACATGGAATTCCTCACTTGGTTTTAGTCTCCTCCTTTCACGTATCCATAGACTAGTTGCAGTTGCAATTGCTAGTGCAAATTGTCCTGTATCTTTGATGACCACAGGAGAGACAATGAGGCATGTACAGAAGTGACAGTGCTCACAAGAGCTAGAATACATAGGAATCAGGTGCTGTTGGTGCAAACAAGCTGGTTTTTGAGGTGTAGGCATATGCAAGCAGAAATTAACAATGCCTTGAATCTTGCAGTCCAAAGGAGCTTGCAGAAGTGGCAAAAATGGGCTTAATTATGTTGATAAAGCCACCACTGACTTCACTGAAACAAAACTGAGCCAATACTGAGTACTTCAGCTATTTAATGTTGGTGCTGTGACCTTCATATGACACAAGAACAAACGCTAAAAGAATAAAGACATAGCTTTTCTGATGGCTTGACTGATGTGGCACCACCAGAGATATTATGTAGAGCTAAAAATCCACCACAGGTAGTGTACTCTTGATTTTCAGCCACAGCCAACTTCTTCAAGTTGCATAATAGCAAATTCTGCTCTAATGCCTGCATGGTCCCAGGACAGTCATTGATCTATGTCTCTGTTATCCGAATGAATAAAAACTTATTTAAAGCTTTCCACTAGCAAGTGTCAGAAGTTATTTTCCACCTGAAACACAAAAACACAAAGTTTTTTTTTTTTTGATCTTCCAAATGAATCATAAAGTCACAGAACAGTTAGGGTTGGAAAGGACCTTAAGGAAGCATCACTCTTTCATGGGCACAGGTGGGTCAGATTGCCAACGTGCCAACAATTTGTCTCTAGAAAATGAGGTGCTCGATTAAAGCTATGCATTCTTGACAGTTGTGCTGAATGTTCTCTGATGGCCTGACTATATCCTGTCTGCTAAAGTGAGTCAGCCCTGGATAGTAGCAGAATTTCATTTATATCCCAAGTACTACTGTCAAGGCCCAGTAGCAAGCAGCACCCTGTTGAAAAAGAAGAAAAATGAAGCTTGCTTTAGATTTGCTTTCACAGACCAGACTAGCTATCCAGGTACTATTGACAAAGGGATATATATATTTATTCACTCTTGTTATCATTGCAGATGTAAGGGGAAGAGTTAAATGTCAGCAATAGTTGAGCATTTATGGATGAGTTCGGACAAGTTCATTGCTGGTCGGAGCTGGCTGTGCTCCTTTCAGTCCCAGAGGACAGGCTGCTGAGAGGCCCTGATCTCCTACTGATTACAACACGAGAGGTGTGGGCAGCTCTGGCTGATGGCACTACCACAAAATGCTATTCACTTCACTTGGCATCAGGAGGTGATATTTGCTTTGGAGTTTCTTGCCTTTCTTGTTTGATGGTGTGTTGCAACCTAGCATACTTTTTCTCTCAGTTTTTTTGCAAGAAGCAAGTGAAAGCTTTGCAGCATATGGGAATGGTTCATCAAAATGCCTCAGACAGGGATGAATGGCTGGGAGAGATGCCTAAATCTGTTAAGATTTTGAGTTCCAGAGTACACTCTTAGAACAATGCCATGTCTATACTTTGCATTTACATATGAAAATTAAGCCTAGTGGGAATGACTGATTATGAAAAAGAGTAGTCTTTGGTAGCAGTAGCAGTTATTTTTCTCCTTCTTGGTAGCTGGTGGGGTGCAGTGTTTTGACTTTCAGCTCAGGAACAGAGCTGATAACAATGATGTTTTGGTTTGGCCAAGGACTTTGTGAGCCTCATGCTCTGCCAGGGAGGAAGGGAGGCCAGGAGGAAGCAGAGACAGGACACCTGACCCAAACTGACCAAAGAGGTATTCCATACCACAGCACGTCATGGCCAGGAGGTAACTGGGAGTTAGCCGGAAGGGCTGGGAGACTGCGGGGTTGGAGGAAGTATTGGTGGGTGCTTGGTCTGGTGGGGTGGGGCAAGTTATCAGTTGGCTGGTGGTGAGGTGATGTATTCTCTTCCCTTGTTATTTCCTTTATCATTATTATCATTGGTGGTAGCAGTAGTGATTTGTGTTACACCTTAGTTACTAAACTGTTTTTATCCCAACCCGTGGGAGTTGCATTCTTTTTGATTCTCCTCTCCGTCCCTCCAGGAGTAGGGGGAGGGAAAGAAGGGGGGGAGTGAGTGAACGAGTTGCCTGAATGGGTTTAAACCACGACAGGTAGGTGAGACTTTGCATGTTTTACAGAGCAGTGTTGTACCTGAATGCTGGGGCTCCCACCACTAACCAAAAGGGCAGCTTACTGAGCATTGCTTGGCTTGCCCCCTCAAACTGGCAAGAGTCATGGCAGTGATAAAAGGCAATCCTTGAGAAACTAACTGTAATTCTGTATGAAATGTTCATCTCTGGTAAACATTTTACCTAGATGTTTGGCCTTGCTATCAGTGACAAAGGTACTTCTTTGTCCTGATCTTTATAGGTAAGACCAATCTTTAGCCATACTATGCCCCTCAGACCAGAGGGAAAATCCGGACCAAGGAAGACATCCTTCATGAAGGATGGCACGGTCAGGGAGCACTGGACATACTTAAGTTCATAGGACATGATGGGAGACACCCTGGGTGCGGAGGGTGCTGGCTGGTGTCATTGTGAGTAAACTTTTGATTATCTTTGAAAGGTCGTGCTCATCAGGAGAGGTTACTGAGGACTAGAAGAGAAAGACTATCACTCCCATCTTCAAAAAGGGCAAGAAGAAGGATCTGTGAAGCTACAGGTTTGTCAGGAACTGATGGAGCAATTTCCCTCTGGAAGCCATTTCCAAACATAAAGGCCAGGACTTGACTGGTATATCACTCCAACATAACAACACCTTTTTTACTGTGAGGGTGGTCAAACACTGGAACAGGATGCCCAGAGAGGTTATGGAGTCTCCATCCTTGGAGATATTCAAAACCCAACTCGACATGGCTCTGAGAAACTCAGAGCAGTGGGCCTGGAGCAGATATCTGTAGAGCTGCCTGCCAGTCTCAGCCATTCCAATTTGGTGACTTCTACACACATAAGTACAGAAAAAATATTATATATGCACAACAAAAGCTTGTGTTAATTTGTGAATGTGCTGTACCAGCACCTGAAAATATTGTTGCCATTATGCTTATACTGGAGTCATGCACTTGAGTGGACCAATGCACTGTTTGTTTCTGTGACCATACCCATGCATACCCGTGTGCTGAAGGTGAGTTGAATGACAGGCAAAGGGGTAAGTTTGCTCTTCCCCATATCCCTAAACCTGGGTTACCAGGGAAAATGTCACATTCTGCACATTTTTAAATTCTAAAACAAATTCACCTTCAGCACCTCAAAGACACTGAAATTTATCTCAGTGGTAGAACAGTTCTTACCATTATCTACAAGTACGAGGTCTATTCCTTCAGTTCTCTTTAGTCATACAGGTCTGCCTCTCCCCTGGCATTACACATATATAACTCTCATTCTCTGCAGAACTTACTTGGTTTCTGTTTTCTCTCATTTGTTTCTGTCCTGTGAGCTGCGGAAGTCTGGGGACTTGTTTATCTTCAGCTGTCTCCTCCGCACGTTGTTCAGCTATTCCTTTGGCCTCTCTGTTTACCATAACCCTCAACCACAGGATTACATTGTTCTTTTTCTTTAAAAAAAATCAAAACAAACCCCCCAAAAAACCTCTACAAGTTACAATAAAACCCCAGTAATCCATCCACAATTATTTCTGTTCCTCTTCTTGTCTACCCTCTCCTCACATTTCCTACATTTTATTTGGCTCTTTTCCCCTGTCTTTGTCATTCAAAGTGTTTTCCTCTTTTGGTATGTTTTCTTCTTCTCTGAGATCATTCTTCCCCACATATAAAAGCATGTATTTCTTTTCTGCTGAGCACAAATGAACTACAGGTACAGTTAGAATTAAGGATTTTATTTATTCAGTTATTGAGTTAATGGAAATTTTTAGTATCTTTCACATTCCTGCGCATTGTCTCTAACTGCTTCTCTAGGGCTTGTCAGAAATGTACTCAGCATTCAGAACAAGAGTCTGAGGAGAAGTCTGGATTGGGTTTTTGACTCATTCATCCCTTTCCTTCCCCCAGCTCACAGTGGAGCTCAACTTCCTTTTTTTAAATGCCCTTCACCAGTGCAGAAGCTGTTTGATTTATTACTGTGAAAAATCCCCCAAATGGATCAAATCCGGTTTGTAAAATTAATGAAAGTCTGACCTGATTGTCTTGTGAAGATAATTCAGAGGGACATGCCAGTGCTCCTGACCCTCCTGAAGCACAATACAAACAAGGATGCTTCCTTTCAACAACCATCTTTATGGAACTCTCCTTATCACCAGCCCATACTCCTGAACTTGGCTTGCTTGATAGCTAAACTAAGACTCTATTTTTTCTCTGTGTGTTTTGCTACAGCATTCCGTGTGGGCAGTTGAGTGTGCAAAGTCAGAGGATGCTGGGTTTACAACTGCTTTCACCCTGATCCCTGCTCTGTCAATACTGTCACGATGACTCACTGTGTTTTCATCACAGTTTAAACAGCCCAGAGATGCTGGCAATTAAAGAAGAAATGAACAGGCAAAGCCTTTCCTCTAGTTCTGTTTTACACCGCAAAAGTGCAAAGTAAGGATCAAAGGATCACTCTCTGCTGGTGCTGAAATAAAGGCTGAAAACGGGGTGTTATTGCCTACTCTATGGGTACAGACTTCAAAATACACAAACGTGCTTCATGGGGGCTGTTGTGCATGAGAGTAACTTCCTTCTCATTTCATTCCCGATACATAACACCAGCCCTGCCCTCCAGTGGCCCAGGAAAGCCACATGCCCCAGTACTGCTACTCTGCAGAGATCCCCTAGTAGTTCAGGCTGAAGAGAGAAGCACTGCAGGTGTAGGTGCTTGCACCACAGGCAGTGAAATTATAGCAGACAGACAACCAGACAATAAACACATACTGGCTATGAGGATTTCTCTGGCAGATGATGGTATTCTATGATTCCATGGGGATGAAAGCAATATTAGGTATGCCAGGATCAGAACTCCCAAATTCCTTCTCTGCTCCTGCACCTAGAATTCACGTCACCAGGCAGAATCAAGTTCTAAAGATGCCAGATTTCTGTCTTGCTGGGGAGACTGATAAAAACGTGGTTAATGGAGTTTTTATTCCTTACTTTAACACTTTGAGTCTTCAACCTTACCATAGAAGAGAGAGGGGAAACCAGCAGAATTGCAAAGAGAAGTGCAAAGCAAGAAAAGCCTGTTCTGTGTTTCAGCCTTGACAAAACAGATACTCAGATCCTTTGTACTGAGACATACTGCTTCAGAGAAAAAAGGGTTTAATGCAGCAATGGCACTTCTCAAAGCAATCAGATAGTCTACGCTACTTGAGTGACCAATTGACTTAAGGAAAAATCAAAGAAAGCAAATGTTTTTTCAAGTTGGTACTGGAGAAGCCTGAGGATTGCAGCTAAATAAAGGTAGGATTCAAACATCTGGGAAAGGCGTTGCATTTCTATCCTGTGAATGGCTCAAGGAAACTGTGTGGGCTGCCAAGGTTATCTTTAAACCAGCTTTCCAACCTAATGTGGGGCATCTCTTGTCTTAGAACAATTATAGCACAGCTCAGCAACGACTTCGTGAGAATGTAATAGGCAAGTGATAGCTGGGATGAAGATGTAGGACAAATACAGAAGTCTTGTCAGGGTCTACAGAATCAGGCAGGACTGAGAGACCTCTCAGTGCTCCTTCCAGTGCTCGAGTTCAGGACCTGTGCTGACATAAATGTGTTTTATAATCCCTGTGTATGCCAAATTAACTAAACGCCTACTACAATAAACATTTTACTGAATTTGGCTCTGGTGTCACTCATTACTGGTGTTATGGAACAGGGACCTGGACAGTTCCAAAATTATACCCCTATGAAGATCCCACCACTACAGTGTGCCCCACATAAGTGTAAAAGGAACAAGGATTGAAGGGATTTGGAGCCTGACAGTCTCAACTTTAGCAGTAGTCCTTAATAGCACAGCTGAAATACTTCTGATGTCACACAGTTTCTCAAGGGCTATTACTTGGCACCTTGTAAACAGAGGCAGGATTCAGGTACTAGGGCCAGCATGTGTCATGGCAAAACAAATATTACATATCTGACAGGCTCAATAACTTGTTGCTTTCATGGACTTAAAACCACAACTGATACTTTGGTGTAAATCCCTGCTTACAATATGTAGGTAATTTTTCATCATGATAATTAAAACAGTCATTGGAATTAAAAAGTAGGTGTTAAGAACAAAATCCAAAGGACACTTCCTGTGAGGAGAATAATCCATGCTACAGGGCAGTAAATACCAACATAAGTATTAGGAACTCTGCTAATTGTACAGGGAGAAGCTTCTTCATTTCTAATTAAATAAAAATCTATAGGAAATCTAAAAAGATAGTATTTTTTTTTCCATAGATAATACACTTTCATGGTTTGGAGAGCTCAGGTTACAAAATGGGTTTTTATGGAACTCGTAAGACTACTTGCTGTTATCACACCGTGAAAACATCTGTTTTTAGAAAAATCACTAACTTGATTCCTTTGGGCTTTCATGATCTGCAGTCTTTTGTATGATTTTGATCTCAGTAGGTATCCCAAGAACCCAAAAGACATTTGAAAGTACTGGGCATGTCCACAGTATCCAAAGGACTGGCAGTCTTTATTCCTCAGTTTCATTTCTGTCATAATTGAATCATTTTGGCCCTCAGCACCTCATTTAACCCAGCACTGGATGTTAAACATAAGGCAACTACATATATTTTCCATCACTCGAGTGATTTCAGAGGTTTAACCATCCATAGTTTTCACAACCGTAAATTTATTCTAACTACCTTTACTTGTCTCACAGGTGCATCATGCAATTGCATGGATCTAACAATTACTAAAACCTGAAGCCTCAGATGAAAGATTACAAATATAAGATATTGTTGAAAGTAAAAATAGGTCTTTTTTCCCCTCCCTGACTTTTCCCCTACTCTTCCCAAATTTCTGCTTTTCTACAAAGCAAAACATTAATTAAAAAGAATGGATTCATGATTGTCACACACTCTTGATGAGACAAAACATAAGACAGGCATTCTTCATACCACAGAGTTCCAGGTCTGAGAAGCAAAGACAAGCTACATAGAAGACTGCTGCAGAGTAGACATCTGCATCATAGTTAGCCGCACTCTTTGTAGTTAATGGAGACAAACTGGCATTGCAAGAAAACTACCCATCTCATCCTGAAGAACAACAGTGGACAGGTTCATCTAGCTTGGTTTAGATCTTGATGCAGAGATGAATAATGTTCCAGAAGAACATTCTGCTGATTGCAGAGAAGAACTCTCTGCTGATTGCAGAGGGACACTAGACAACAAACTCAGATGCAGACCATTACAGAAGTCAACACTGAACTCCACTCCCTTGTAATAGTCATTGTAATAGTGCTGGATGACTCTTTTTGCTACCCTGCTGCCCCAAAGACAACCTGAGAAATGGAAGCCTGTGCTAGCTCTTTCTGAACATCCCCATTATTACCCTCCATCATCTTACAAAGAAAATTCTACTCTGCGATTTAGAGACATAAGAATTACAGACTTAGTAGGAGCTTGTTTCTCGTACAAGCTCATACATCACTGTATGCCTATGAATATAGCAGGAACCATAAATCTGCTTTCCACTACAAATGAAAACAGTAATTATTACATGCTTTCTGTATCTGTCTTATAATATGAAAGTCTTTCTGTACCTGTTTGGCCCAGGGGTTGCACAGAAAAGCAGGTTATACTATTTCTACACATAGAACTATGAACTCACTGAATGGGCATTTTTGTGTTGGCTTCATTTCTAAACAGTTGCTTAAAAAGAAGGGCTATCATATGTGACAATGCAACTTTAAAAAACATCATAGGTTTCCAAGGTAAAATCTGTCTAGACATGGTAGCAGTAACAGAATCATGCTTCTAAGAATACAATTACCTCTCAAATGGGAAATCAAATAAATAGAGCAATTGAGATTTTTTTTTAATCAGGAATTCTATTCTACACAATCCAAAGTATTAGCTACATTGGGAAAAACCTCACATTTTTCAGTAAAAAAAAAAATATGTTTTTGAAATCAATACATTATGTTTGTGCTCTGGTGTTCCCACTTCATAAGACTTTTAAGTTGTGGGTTATGTCTCTCCATAACACCAGAACCCCAAACAGTATTGTAGGTGAATTCACCAGTACGGTTAGCACAGCTTTGCCTAGGGCGTAGCAAACAAAATGCTTGAGCAAACCAAAAAATGCTTGGCTGTGCAGAGACAAAATGTATATACTCCCTTAAAGACAAGGATCTGGACATGTAGCGGCAGCTCTAAAATAGTGGCAACTCTTCTGAATCAGCACTTTTCTGTCCTAACCTGTTCCAGAAGGGAAAAACAAAAAATCAAATTCAGCATCTCTATCAGAATTCTCTGCATTGCTAAGCACAAGAGAGATCTTTCTAACACGTGAAATTAGAGAATTAGGATTCATCTCCTGTGATCTAACAGAGCAAGAATGTAGAAAATGTGCTTAAAGGCCATTGCATTGCTTTCACTTTATAGGTTAGCTGATACCTTCTAAAGATGAATATTAAGCAATATCATCCCCAAACTTACCTACTTCTAAGAACCTACAGAACTGTTACCACATTATAATTGTAGTTATTACTCCATTTTTTAAAAAGAATTTTCCAATTCTTACAACAAATTTCCTTTTAAAGGGAAACTGCAATGACAACTTTCATGCAATAAGCCCAGTATAATGTTTATTGGTTGCTGTTCTTTCATATTGGCTCTTGAGAAGTTGATTGTAGATTGATTGTTGGAACCAAAATGCACTTCTTTGGTGGGGACAGCAGTGTCATTTTCATTTGCTTTTATCTACAGAGAAGAAGAAGACAATATGACATAATCTTTCAAAAGAAATTCTCTGCTTTGCAGTTTGTCACTCAGAGAGGTAGTAATGGAGAAAGAGTGCTAGGAGCTAGAATGTTATTGCTCCTTCATTCTACTGCAGCTTTAGCCTTTAGTCCTCTCTATTACAAAAGCTTTCTCCCTTATGACAGAGGAAAAAAAACAGGATGCACCCTGTTGCTGCCACTGATGCCCTGGATGAGGTTCACTGTGAGGTAGTTTTAAAGGAATGCTACAATGGAATGTGGAAAAGCTAACTTCATTCTTCTACCACTGCAGGTTTGTCCCTATCCTCATACTAATTAGCACTGAGAACTGACCCATTTTATGTGAGGGGCTTTACATCCATATATTGGGAAATCCTTTCTCAAACTAGCTGATTTCACCCAAAACTCAGCCTGGATTTTGTCATGCTTACTGCTACTCAGTGTTCCCCTGGCCCGTATTAATCAACTCCCCTGTTGCAGTGGACAACACTTCAGCTGCAGCTGGCATGCAGCAGCATCATGTCTCAATTGGGATTGCTGAAGGTCTTAGTTCTATTTTTTCCTGGGGCATTTCTTTTGCTTGTTAAACAATTAAGAGTGAGATGTTGTTGTCTAGTTCTTCCCTCCAGCTGCCTTATCTTGCCCATATATTGCACTGCTAGGTTCCCTTGCTAGTTTCTTCTGAGAGACAGTTCAACTCACAAAGCCAACAGAAAACTAACCCAGAAAAAAGAAGCTAATTGTTTTCTTCTGTCTTAGCAAGTAAACCAACTCATAGAAAGATCCACTGAGCACTATGGCATATAAAGGTCAGGGAGTGTCAATACCAAGCTAGGCACCCTGGACACTGAACAGGGGAGATGCCGGGTGTTACTCCGTTAGCAGCACTGAGCTTTACAGTAGCTCAATTATCTATTATACAACTGCTGGCACTGACTGCAGCACCTCTATTGCATGAAGACAGCTGTGGTTCTTGCAAACCAGATCTATCAGCTTAACCAAAAAGCACAACTGGTGGAAAGTTATTGTCTGTAACACAGGGACACTAAAGAATATATATTTTACATCCAGCTGGTTTTGTTTGTTTGTTTGTTTGTTTCCCTGTAAATTTGAAAGCCAAACAAGTATGCTCTCTGTATTCTTGGTGCTAACTGAACTCAGGATTTCTATGGACCTTCATATCCATCTCTTAGTCTAGCAGTTAAACTCCATTTGCACCTCTCAATTGAGCTTTTTAAATGAGGCTCCAATCAGAAAGAGTTCCTCCCCACCTAGGCTGCCACACATTTTCATCAAATTTAAAGATACCAAGATAACTCAGTTTCTGAGAGGGCTTATTTCAGACAAGCTTGTCACAATCTGGAAGACCTGCTACACTTTCATTTTCTTAAAGTTTCAGAGAAACAGTAAAGAAGTTTTCATCAGTCAAAAGAGACACTTACCTGCAAGAGCCACAACTGGAGAATGAGCCTACTGGTTCTGTGTGACCCATGTTTCTGAGACTATGCCTGTATAAGGTGCTCTCTTAACAGGAACAGGCTGACAGACCTGCAAGAAATATGTTACAAATCCTTCACTATTATTTGTCTTCCTCTTGCAATTTCTAATTGGACACAACGAAAATAGCAGTCCTGTGATAACCCAACTTTGTATGCTATGCATCCCAACACTTTCATCAAACCTCTCTCTTGTAAAAGATCCCTTACACTGGGATCAAACTGTTCAGTTCTCAGCTTTCATCAGGAGCTGGTTGGCTCAATCTCTTCAGCACTGTAACAAAGCAATTCTAAACCATGTTTTTTTTAAAAAAGCAACTGACCATGTTACACCTCATTTTATTGATGCTCTCCCCTCGGAGGCTTAAATAACTGCAATGTTCTCTTACACCAAAAAGAATGACCCAATTTTTTTGCTGCTGCAATGGCAGTATAAATCTGCTCTCAATAGCTAGTTTTCATTACCATTACCTGGTATATATTTTGAATTAAAAGCCAAAGGGATCAACATTGCAAAACAAAACTCATTAACAAAGTACCAAATATCTTCAGTGTCCAGTGGATTAAATAGACTCACAGGCACATACAACTTTGTGCATTATATATATCCTAATTAAGACAGATCCATAGAACTATGATTTCTAAGAGGAACACTGCAAAGAGAATCTATCTGGATTAAAAATGCAGAATGAATCTAATGTAGGTGAACAGTGACCTTTGGAGCAATTGTTTCAATTCAGTTACATATTCAGTGGAAAGGGAAGATTAGGACTACTGGTTCACTTTTCTACTAGGCCTTGAAAGTCCTAGAGGCAGAGAGTATTTTCTTTGCCCTTCCTTTCCCCTAGAAACATTAATGTTCATTCACATTGAAAAGGTGAATAGAATATATAAAATTTGTGGACAGACTTAAATGAGGGATACAGTTTCAAAATAAAAGCAAAGTAGAAACAGCACAGCTAGATGCTAACAGTAAAATAACTGTAGTTTATCTAATTTACCCTGACTTGTACTAGTACCAAAAAAAAATAAAAAATAAAGTGTTCCTTAATGTCTGGAAAACCCAAACCTCCAAAATGCAATAATAAATGCAGTAATCTGTTTCCTGTTCTTTTAGTCCCCAGGGAAAAACTGTGTGTCAGGAGGGGACTTCCCTGCCTATCCACTGCATTATGTGCAGGCAGCCCACCAACCCCTCTGAAAGGCTGATTTGGAGGAAAGCCTCACTCAGTCACTTTCACATGCCTTTCTAAGTCCACCAAGACAACAACAGGAAGAAATATACAGAATTATCTTGGAAGCATTTCAATGGGCTATATCTCACATGGATGCTAGTCTGATTCAACTTTTAGGTCTTGCAGTGAATCACACTGATTAAGGTTGTGATTTTAAAATATACTTTGGCTGCTTTTGAAAGTGCTGATCACAACTGAGTTACGCTAAGCATGCAAAAGCATTCTTCATGAATGCTTTCATGGAAAATAGGCACTAAAAATTCAATCTTTATGTATTTTGCAATATTTCTCTTAAAAAAAAACCCAAAACCAAACCACCAAAAATCCTCAAGAAAACCCCCAAAAAAACAAGAACAAGAGAGTTGTCTTACTTGGTCCAGCAGTGCACTTTTTGCACATGTTCATCTTAAAACAGATTCTTGCTGGAACAGAGCTAAGTCTTCAATATTTTACAGAGTTTAGCCCCAAATATCTGATCCATGAAAGAGTTAGAAAATTACTGATTTCTTCCTCAGTCTAAGACTTCTTCCTGCAGATGATGTTATACCTGTTTGTTTTCCAGTGAATTCAGTGATAAAATGTAGCAGTTAGTCAGATTACTCATGAGCAAAACTTTGTCCACTTTTATTGGAAATGAGATATGTCTATTTCAACAAGCACCCAGGCTAAGTTTACAAGCTGTACAGACTACCCTAAGAGCAGGAACTAGTCTATGACATTTTTCTGTAAGATAAAGAGCAATAAGAATTGAGTCCTCAGTTTCATTTTCTCCCACCTTGGCAGATTTTGATTAGTAAGGGAAATTACTATTGAATCCCCAGACTTCTCTTCCCAAGAGCTAGTTATCCTCATGCTGTACAAAGCATTACAGAGATTTATTAGTTTAATTAACCTGCTCCCGCTGCCTGATTCGCTCGTAGACATATGGAGGGAATGGTGGACGGGAGACATATTTTCCATCTCCTGCTGTGACATTGAAAGCTCCACCTTCATAAACTACTTTGCCTCTTGAAACTGTTGCAACTGGGACTCCATGGCAGACCATTCCTTCAAATATATTGAAGTTGTTGGCCTGATGATGTGTCTTTGCAGATATTGTCCTGTGTTTACAAAACAAAACAACACCCAAAATTGCTCTGATTCTTGCATTTCAATTCATTACAAAATTTTGAGACGCTGATACAGGAAGAAAAATTAGCAGCATTATTAAACTACAACATTGTACAGTACATCATGGAACAGCTGTAAAAATAGGATAGAGCAATAGCATTTCACTGAACAGTAATTGCATTTCAAAAGAATGAAGAGGGAGTCAAAAGGACAGAACTTTGCAGCCTTGAAACGCAAAATTTTCCACTAGAAAGAGGTTGGTGGAAATAAAAATCAGTCTGTAATATGTTATTTGGATAACATGATTTCATTCTGCCTTGTCAAGCAAATATCTGTGCATGATAAAGTCAGAAAAAGCTCTGACCTTTTAACTAGAATGACTTGCAGTTTCAAGTTTTAAAAGCATGGCTGCAATGTTTCAAAGATTGAGACTCACGAATAACACAAAGACTATTTCACTGAAAAGTCAGTAGACGGTAATGAATTTTGGTAACTCTTAATGTGAGTTGGATTGATCCAGTGACTGACAGCCCAAATATCTCGATGCTGCTAAATAGTAATGAGAACATCACACTTCTACACACCTTTCCTCCAACTATTTTAAGCAAATTTTAGACCTCAAAAGTACTCATTTGAGCTACAGTATTATTGCTTTGTTTATGCATAGATCTTACTCTTTATGATCACCATTTTGGAGCCAATTTCTCCAGCCCTGACTGGTTACATCAGAAGCAGAGCCAATGCTACAGCTGACATTAGCATCTGGAAGTTCAGGCTGTGCATTTTTTTTTTATTATCTATTTTCCCTACTGAGCTACATACTAGTTACTCTATCTAAAATATGATTTTGAATTTTAGTGAATTATTTTACTAACTTCCTGTTATTTTTTTATAGTACGGAGAGTTATATTTTTACTGTCATCTATGTTTTCTGAAAGGAAGGAAGCTTCATGCTTTTGTCTAGCAGTCAGAATTTTCCAGAACAGGTGCTCTCACAATCAAAAACCTACCACTCATATATAGCATTAACATTATTCCAGAGACTAAATCTTCTGCAAAAGAATTATCAAAGTCAAAAGTAATATGAAATATTAGTAAAGTATTGATCTGTTTGAAGAAGAATTTTATAAAACTTCTGTTAACATCTTTATGAAAATGTAGAAACCACAACAAAATCTGTATCTTTCTTGAAGTATATCCATTTTCAAAAGTAATCACATACCAAATATTTCAAATGGTTACTTATACAGAGAAAAAGAAAAAAAGAATTTGTGGAAGAATACTTTGTTTTCCTTTTCTATCATTTTGCTGAACTGGTTCACTAAGAAAATGGTTCCACTAAGGGATGCATTTAAATCTTGCTGGCAATTGACTTTTCAAAGGCTGTGGATATAGAAATACTCTCTATCACCAATCTGCCCATAGGAATAAAAACTTTTCCTTATTCAGCACACACTGGACAGAAAACTTACGCATTCCTGCTCAACCAATATCAGCATCATTTTGTGGATTCACAGCGGAAAGAGTGAGCAATAGAAGTCAGACCTCTCTTGTATTCACCAGTCCTATGAACACTATGAAACAACTTTATTCGTGAGTGTTATGATAGACTTACAAATAGTTTGTGAACATATTCCTCTATCTCATTGCACTGGCCTTATGGGACCAATTGCTAGGGCAGTAAGTAAGAACAACTGTAATATAATTATCTTTAATATTCTCTGAGTATATATCATATCTATTTGCACAATCACACTGGGACACAAAAGAAAAATGGAAAAGGTAATTTGACCAAACAGAAAAATAAGATCCTTCAACTCATGAGCTGTTTAATTGTGCTACTGCAGGATCAGAAGACATAAACATGCCTCACAGATAAGTACATCCTTCATAAAAAGATACAAAATGAATGGAAATTAGCACTTTTCAAAGTAAGCTCCATTTGTACAGCTAAACCTTACAATATGACAAAACACATTTCCCAGAGCTTGTCTCAACAACACACTTGTATAGAACTCATTTATAACTCCTGTGTTGAAACAAGCCTTAGATCACGTTGCCCTTTCTGAAGGTTGAAGAGCATTCTCCTTGATGGAGATCACCAAAATTCATCTGTGATTTAACCGTTTCACATCACCAATGGCAGTGAAAGTTTCAGGTGGCAAGCAAGCAACCAATTGAAGCAGAATTAGACAGTATGCTTGGGTCTGAAGCTCACAACTCAGCAACCTTATGCAACATACTTTTTCCTGCTGTATCAGCCATTTCAGTAGCAGACAGCTTGCTGGGAATGTTAGGGAAATTCCACTGTTTGCTCCAAATGTCTTAACACTATTGACTGTTCAGCTAATGGCAAGAACACCTGTAATCTATTTATAATCCATGAAATCCAAGATTTTGTATGCTGCAAGGGTTATCACTTTAATTTCCAAGGGGGTTAGAAGAAAATTAAGAATGTAATTACTTTCAATGGAAATTGGATGTATACCTCACACGGTTTTCTTGAAAATTTCCAGGTACAGGAATATGAAGGAATTCTGTAGTCGACAGCCCTTAGGCAAGAGCAGCTGCTCAACATCTCAGTAAAGGGAAGACACCTCTTTTAGAATTAGTTCATTAATTTAAAACATAGTAATAAAGGCAGCCATAATGAGCTATAATGAGTCCATTGTTGACAAGAAAACAACTGCTTTGTTGACAGCTGCCATAGAAACCCAATTTATGTAAGGGTGAGTATTTGCACTGTAAGCGACTTCTCTCAGTGCTTACAGTGCAGTATCTCTAAGCTTTTTGGAGCCGGGGTAGGTGAGAAATGCCAGTTTTCTGAATAGCATCAGTCTTTGAGAGCTGCCTCTTTATGTCACTTTCAGATGCCTTTGAACTCTCTAGATTGTTAAGCCGCTTTTCTAAAATCTAGACAAAATAGACTGTTCACCTTTCCCTGCTGTCCTGAGCCATTACTCATTTATAATACTAATTAAGTTGAACTTTGTTATGTTGGAGTCATTTTTATTAAAAAGAAAAGAAGGGGAAAAAAGAGAGGAAAAGGAAGAGAAGGTCTTAAAACCTATGTGCAGAAATGCTAGTTATAAGCCTATAATGTGGATTAAAAACCTGATGGCCTATTTTATTTTAAGGAATTGCAATGACTGTACATGCAAATACATGGAGGAAACTTTTTGTAAAGCTGTATTTCTAGGTTCTTAAAAATATCTTTAAATATGTGTTGCCTATGAGTAGCCATATCAAGTGAGGAGATTTGTGGATAAAACAACAGATGCAAGACGTAGGAAGTTAATGTTTGGGAGCTCCAAGTCCAAGTGACTTACTTGAGGGATGGGATCCTTATTTTATGCAATCATATCTCCTATAATTCATCATTTTGAAGTGGGTAGCAAGTGAGAACAGAATTATTTCTCTGATTATAGTAACTCATTTTTCAACAATACCATCAGTCTGGTCCTGTCAATCACTCCAAGCTGATATGGGATGGAAGTGAAAATTCTCAAACAGTATAATGTGCAGGAGAGAAACACTACTGAGAAATTAAGCTTTCAGAAAAGCATAAAAAGGAAAATACAAATTAGTCTATTCAATGTCTAAAGAGGCTCTGGAAGTGATTATCAGAGAGAAAAAGGCAAGGTTATATAAGCAGAAAATGAGAAAGATTTAAATTTTGGGGTGTAACATCTCTAAAATTCAGTTCTCTAAAGAGAGCAGCTGACATTTGGTGAGACAGCAAGTTTCTAGGGAAATGTACACCGTGCTCACTCAGAGAGGGTTATTTTGTTACAATTCACAGAACCACGGAGTCACTGAGGTTCAAAGCATCTCTGGAGATCATCTATTCCAAGGCCTTTGCTCTGATCAGGGTCAGCTAAACTAGGCTTCTCAGGGCCATGTCCAATCAGGTTTTAAGTACCTCCAAAAATGGAGAGACCATAATCTCTTTGGGCAACCTGTGATCATCCTCACAGGAAAAAAACAAAACCAAAACCAAACAAAAAACAACCCACAGTTATTTCTAATGTTTAAATGGAATTTCCTGTATTTTAATTTGTGCCTATTGTTTCTTTCTCCATGTCCCCTTAATTTGAGATAACAGTCCTTTGACAGGAACTCTGATTCTAGTGAATTAGTGTACATTCATGCATGCACATGCTTCCACTTGTGCAAAAAAACATGGGGCTATTGAAAATGCCAGAATATACTTCTCCTATGCATACTTATTTGTATGCCACATTATTTCATTTTGCCTTATTGTGTCTAGATGAAGTTATCCATATACTCGGTATTCAAAATTATGCTCATTCATCAAAAGAGTAAGACAGTTGCAGCATTATTTATTCTAATCATCTGATAAAATCTTGGTTTCTTCCCCTTTCATTTTATGAAAAATTACAGGCAATGAGTGTTTAAATGTTGTAACTTGTCCCCAGTTAAGACTCTGAGGGTGAAGACTTGAACACAAATGAGATAGACACAGGCTGCAGATTTTGCTTCTAACAAATGAAAAAGATTTCCCCGTGAACATATATACACACAAAAAAAGTCACTGAGGAAACATGCCAGCAGACGTGGACACTCTGACTCCTCCCTGATTCGCATCCAGTGACTGTTTCCCCTAAAATGCATAAACCACTGGAAACGGGCTGTTAACCATATCTTCCCTAGTCATGTCATAGCAGGTAGATTATAGAGTAACGCATTCCTTTCCCTCCCTCTCCTACTCATCTGAGAACTCCTGCATTCCCTGCTAATCATGGACCCTGTTCCATCAGCTGTGAACTTGGGGCTGCAGCCACCACTGACTGGCCTAACTATCAGGGTCGATGCCAACTCCACTGGTACATGTGGGGCACTCTCGGGGCCTGCCATGAAGGGACACTCCAGCAGAGTTCAAGTAGCATGGCATGAGAGACTGCTACAGCACAGCCAGCTCTGCTTCTGCATTCAAAAGACCTTTTAGGGTCTATTTAGTGAGTGGTAAAAACCTGATGGGTGAGGTTTCCCAGACTGCACGTTGTCATAATGAAGGGGTGGACTTAGAAAAATTCCATTTGAGGCAAGTGTTTTTATCCCTATGGGTGTTTGATCTTGCCTTTGGGGCCTGATCCAGGGCTTATTTCCAAGGGTCCGAGAGGCTACAGTGAGTTTATTGAGCCCTAATATCTGCCAGGAGCTTAATCTGTTTTATGAGATCTTTAGCACCTTCTGCTCCTACTTTACAAGGGATGCTCAGCTCTTTCCACAGTCTGAATTGGGTACTGCAGTATTTAGATTCCCTGATGAGCATTTCTGAAACAAGCCATACAGATTCTGTATTCTTGCTTGCTTTCAAATATCTAAAGGCATCAGCTATAGAGGACACTAACTTGCTTGACAGGTGACATTCCCTTTCCCTTGCTTACTCTACCTTCTCCTTCTGAAACAGTCTTTACAGTTGCTTTTGTTTCACAGACCTGGGGCTGTTATATTATTTGTGTGTAGCTGAAAGAAGTCCGTGAACATTCCTGATGAAAGAACAGATTAAAATAAGACGGTACATATTTGCTGCCTAAGCGCGTTTTCCAAGCAATACTCACAAAACAGTAATGTGTGCACAGGCTGTGCACAGGGATGTTGAGGGTATTGAGGTCTGCAAGATGGTGATTGATAGCACATGGATGCAATAAACCAACAGGTTACTTTGGTATTTGTGTATTCTTTAATGAATATGCAATATGGAAGCTAAGAAATAGACCTAATGTCAGAACTCACAACCCATCTTTTTTACTAGACAAGTTTCTAATTTATACATTTAAAATGTTTCTTCCCATTAATCCTTTCTTTCATGCAGACCTGCTAAACCAGTATTTAGAAGCTTTTAAACAGTGTAGCAAATCTGATAACTGTTCATATAACCTTTTCTGCAGAAATTACCATAAAACACTACAGAAACAGACCAGTCACTGAAGCTGACCCGTAGAAGGCAAGCCTCAGCTAAAGCAGCAGAGTGCTGGAAGTGGAACCTTGAATTGCAATTGCTCCCAGCTTGCAGAGCTGTCATGTTGAATTCACTAGGTTTTTGCAACCTAGAAAGAGAAAATCCTGAACGCCCAGATAGCACCCAACATGTTGCTATTATGCAATGATGTGGGAGGGAAAATGAAGCTGATTTTGTAGGAATACAAGTTTTTATCTTTTTAAGAGCTTCACTACCTTTCAGAAGGACTTAAGAATCATCATTATAGGCTTCCTCTCACAGATTGTTATAATACCAGTTCTTCACAGTGATACTTCAGCAATTGTCTAACTCTTTAGGCTAGTATCAGCCAGTATTTTAAGACTACAGGAACACAGCATCAACTCAGAACTGGAAAACTGTGTTTTCCTGTTACAAGATTTAGATTTACAAACAAGAAAAGCAGTCATGCTTGAAAGAGGAAGGATTTAGCAAGAAAGAGGAATAAGCCTCTTGTGAAATTGAAAATCACTCCTTAGAGTCAACAAAGCAGGAGGCTGCACCTTGTGTAATACCTTAAAAGGCTGAGGTCCATTAGCTGGATCTTTTTTTTCTGCTGGGCTGTTAATGCCCTCTTCCGGATTTGTAGTGAAATGAATGAAGCACTAGTAAGATTTGTTTATACTTATTCACGTAGTTCACACGATGGTAGCTGTAGAGAGGCTTGTTTCTAGAAAAGCCAAAGGGATAAACAGTGGGAACAGTACCAAATCAAGAAAAAAGTATTGGCTGAACTTATATTCAGGTTGCTCAGTAAGAAAACGTGGTTTAACGTTTGAAAAAATACTTGAAGAACTGCAGCTTCACAGCTGCAGTAGGCAAAATGCAGTTTGAGCACTCAGAAGAGTGAAAGGAGGCAGAAGGAATGTTTGAGAGGCAAAAGGATGAATAATTACAGGAGCTGATGAAGCACCTTGAGAACAATGTCAGAATTCTGCTATTCTTCTAGATTCAGTTGTGTTCCCCCCGCCCTGGCAGAGCAGAAATTGAGCTTGGAAATGAATCCTTCCGGATTTCATAATCAGAGTTCATAGCTCCACTGTACTGAAATACTCATTGCTAGCATCTCAATATATGCTTGCTCAACATGCAGGAAGGCACAATGCACATGAAAATCTCTCTGACCCAGCTGTAGGCAGGCCTCTATGTTTATTGGGGCTGCTGACACTCCTGAAGTTTATTTTGCTGGTGCTGCCAGGTTTTTTGTGGGACTTCTGGATAACAACCTGCATGTCCTCAAGCTTTGCAATTTAAAACACAATGTTTTTCCTCTAACTCTCACATGGTTTTGGTACTCATTAATGTACAGAAATGAGTGAGTATTGCACTGTCAAAACTTAAAAAATAAGAAGATTGGTCAAGAAAATTTTGTTTGTGCAAGGTAAATCTAGGATTAGGCTTTTTGTGCCTCCATTTGGCTTCAAAAAAACACCCCAAGGCTGAAAATCTAATGCCATCTAGGTTACAACTGTTCAGGAAAACCAAACACTGTGATAACCTTCAATAAAGCTGGCCATACTGTCATCATGCCCAACAGCCCACAAAACTCATCTAAGGTTTCTGATAGCTATGTGATGTGGATTTTCTATTTGGATGACACTGATGAGTCTTCAAGGAGGGTCTTCAGCACAGTTGTATGCTCACAACGCTCACTAGAGCTGAGCCCAAGACAAGAGAACCAGCCCAGAACACTTCCTGACCTCCTGCTGCTGCTGTGTGCAGGGCTGGATGTGGCTGGATGTAAGGCTCAGCTGTTAAAGTGCCTGCAGATTTAAGCCAACCTGCTCAGCATTTGAAGACAGGAGATACACTTGTACAGCCCAAGCAAGCTAGCTCTGTGACAGTCAGCTGCCAGACCATTTCCAGGAAGTTTAAACAAGACCAGTATGGGCATAAGAGCCAGAGCAAGACTCAAGACATATAATTCCTGACAAATATATAGTGGCCTGAGTTTGGAGCTATGATCGTGTGAAGGCAGGAATCAGCAATAATGTACAGTATGCTGAGTTTAGGCTCCTAGAAAGACACTTTGTAGCAAAAATGCACCATGTCATCAAGTCTTGCAGAGTGAGACAGCACACCTTTTGTGCATCTGTTGTTGGTGTGACAAGCTCTGTTCTAACAGACTTACTGTGCACAGAATCAGAAAACTCCATAAATAATAGCATAGGTATGCACAGCTTGCGCTTCAGAAGTAAGCTCACTCCTGGCTATAGCCACTGTATTAGCTCTATCAGCTAGGGAAAATACATCAGAAGGGCAAGATCCCACACTCTCACCACCCATCACAGACCTGACCACTTTTGAGTACGTCTGAAGTAGCTGTAAGTTCAAAACACAAGCTTGTAATGAGTCATCCTTCAGGAGCACAGGGTCCTTTCCCTGCTCTCTGCAGTGGGAGGAAGCACTTAACAGAGTTACTCTAAGATCCCAGCATGGTTATTTTTACTCTCAGGATACCAAGTCCTGGTAGCATAATGTACAGACCTTGTTATTTTTGCAGTTGGTCAGAAATCTAGAATTTTTTTAAATCCATCTAGAGATGCTTACATACAGTATTGCAGGGTACAAATAACATGTAAATAATTCATGTGAAGTGCTATCAAAAACCACTATAACTTCAACACAAGGGCTTATTGCTGCACAGAGGCTTTGAGATATTTTTTTCCTGCAGAGAAGCTGGATGGTAGGAAATAACTACCCTTACATACCTTGAAGCTTTGGGATCCCAAATGACGATGTCAGCATCAGAACCCACAGCAATTCTCCCCTTCTTTGGGTACAGGTTAAAAATTTTTGCTGCATTTGTGCTGGTAACAGCTACAAATCTGTTTTCATCCATTTTTCCACTGTGCTGCACAAGAGTACACAAAAGCAAGCTCATTACTTTTTAAAACGAGGAATGAAACAAATGTTCCTGTTATTGAAAAAGGTAGGATGAGTGACAGATCTCTGCCAGCATTCACATCAATATTTTTTTTTAATGTCATACTGAAGAGTTTAAAAGAAATAAAAATAACTATTTGTCTGAGATGCACAAACTGCAATGTACATTCACTGAATACTGTAACCTTATTTTACTTTATCCCACAGGAAAAGGAAAAAAGACAACTTTAAATCCAAACTTTTGTGGATCCAGTCCCAAGTCACCTGAAATAATTTTTTTTAATCTGGCTTTGCATCTTAGTCCTGCTCAGCAGTCTCCTCGGGAGACATAACATCTCTCATAACCAGTATCTAGGTTTTATGAAATGGTGAGACAGTATAAGGAGAGCCTAGAAGATGATAAAGGAGAGGTAAGGCACAATGTGTAACATAGGAAAGGTGATTTGCAAATGTTTTCAGCAATAACACGGACGATAGAACTCTTCAGTAAATGTTTGAGAACAAGCAGTATAAAAATCAGATTTGCTGATGTGACACATCAGCAAAATGGCAAATAATAAGGGATATAAATGCGTCTTGGGACTGTTCACTACTACATAACTAGTTTTAATCCAACCTCTGTGACTGTTCTGTGCTTAGAAAGGCAGATACAGTGGCAGACATACTGCATAGGTCAGTCTAGGAATCAGAATGTCAAAAAAATGTGGTTTTATGGTGGCTTTTGAGCATCTAAGAAGAAAAGCATGAGTGGTGAGCACTGCTTTTCTAACTAATGGCGTATGGGAAGGGAGGAAAGCTTTCCACACAAATTCTCACAGCTGTGTAATATTTTACAAGTAAGAAAAGAGAGGATATTCCTGATTGAAGAACCTTCTGAAAAACTATCTTGCCCAACAAGATGGACTGTTCAAAAGCAACACTGATGTATATATTCCTGTCTTACTTTCATACTAACCACAAGCTAGATTACATTCCAGTTTACACAATAAATAATCACACTAGAGCTATGCCAAAGGTGAATATAGGCAGAAGTCTGCTTTGTACATGCCAGCTTGAATGGAATCCCAGATCAGATAAAAAGAGAGATTCTGAACCACATCCTTACCAAGTTAGATAATTCTACAGTGACAAATAAACATGCCTTGCAGTGCATTATCAATGAGACTTCACTATTGCAAGAGAACTTACTAATAATTAGAAAGTTGAACTAGAGCCTCCAGAACTTAACAGTATTGTGTTCTGAGTTACGGCTGGGCTTAAACCACAACAGAAGGAGAAAACTAACTGTTACAGCCAAATCCAGAAAAATCGATATACTTACAACGCCTTTTTCCCATATGACTGACATCCTATCTTCCACACCATTCACTCCATTAGGGATTTTTGTGAAGTCGTCCTTCCCCTGAGCTTTTTGGCATGTGTCAAAGGTGCAGTTGTCAGTCCCTGTCACAGATAGGTCATCACTGTAGAGAGATAAAGTTCTTTATGAAATAGAGCGTGTATCAGGCAGTGCCACATGGGAAAAACCATTGCAAAGCTTGGTAGATCCAGGAATCCATGCTGCAAGGAAAAACTGGTATGTCCTGCCTTCCTGTCTTCAGTCCCATCCTCCAAGAGTAGCTCCACAGTACAGCCAGTTCCCCTGTAAAGTAGTTTTCTCTTCAGAAACCCCTCAGAAGAAACCAATCAGAAAAAAGAACACTTTTACTTTGGATATAACAAAGGTGTCCCACAAATGGAGGACTGTCCTGGGTTCAGCAGTAGCAGTCATGTTTTTTCCTTTGTGTTAGCTGGTGCAGTGCTGTGTTTTGACTTCCAGCCTGAGAACAGTGGTGGTGAAGCCGATGTTTTCGGTTGTTGCTAAGTGATGTTTACCCTGACCAAGGACTCTGTGAGGCTCATGCTCTGCCAGGGAGGAGGGGAAGCTGTGAGGAAGCAGAGACCGGGGGCGCCTGACCCGGGCTAGCCGGGGAGGTATTCCATACCACAGCACATCATGCCCGGGGTGAGGGGTAACTGGGAGTTACCCGGAAGGACACGGGCTTCCGGGTGGAACTCGTTTTCTTGGCCGGTGGTATCGTATTCTCTTCCCTTGTTATTTTCCCTTATCATTGTTGTAGTTGATAGTAGCGGTGGTGATTTGTTGCTGGACTGTTCTTGTCTCAACCCGTAGGAGTTGCACTCTCTCGATCCTCCCCCCCGTTCCTCCGGGAGTGGGGAAGGGGAGAGCCCCAGTGCGGGGAGGGGACACGGACCTCGATTGTTGTCAGCTCGGCACCACTCACTGGGAGTGAGTGAACAAGTTACCTGACTGGGTTTAAACCACGACAAGGACTAATACACTTTGCCCAGAGTAAGGGGCTTGGTTCCATCCTCAGGGCAATTTTAAATTGAGTTACTCTATATACCCTTTGAAATTGCCACAGATCTGCACAACCATCAGCCAGTGTTCAGGCATACACTGGTCAAATTCAACCCTTTTGTGGAGTTAAGCTTTGTTGGTAATGAAATACCAGCAGAACACACCTGCTGTTAACTGCAGGTATCTGAAGGATACTTCTATTCCTACTTCCTTCTGAAAGAAGTGGATAACTTACATCTACCTTCAGAAGTCAGCAGGCTTAGTTTTTACATAGCATCCACATTTCAAGTGAAAAAGGCAGCTGATAACAAAACCCAGAACCCCTAGCTGTGACCCCACTTTTTACACATTCCCCCCTGATTTACAACCTTACTGTTTCCCTGGTTATGTTTCAATTTTTGATGCAGTATTAGCAAGGCAAGACTAATGATTAAAATCAATGGGGGCAGAGGCCACAAGAGTCCAGAGGAACAAAATCTGAACACTTTCTAATTCCTGCAACAAAAAATGTTTTTCATCTATGGTTTCACCTTACATTTCTCCTTCCTGATAGTGTTAACATTCTGTACTTAGAAAATCTCCAGGGCATCAACCTGTTATTATATACTACAGACAGAATTTGCTATGTATTTGGGCATCAACTGTCACTGTTTGTTCATCTGCTTACTTGGCCAGTAAGTTCATGAGGAAACCAGGAGTAGATGGATCTGGTCTCAGTGGAGGTCCCATGACATATGCTGCAGCATGAGCCCAGTCTTCATTCCAGTAGTTGGTGCCATCGGTGCCAAGACTAGCAGCAATAGGCTCCCCATAAACCACCTTTCCTAAAAAATATAAAGCAATAGTATCATCATCAAACAACATAAAAATGCTTATCCTGTGTTTTCTCTGTTGCGGATCTTTTTGATGGCAATGGATCTAAGTTTGAATAAGTGTTTCAAATTAAACACTAACATATGGAAGGACATAATAAAATAACCTATAACACAGCATCTCTGTTCTGAATATTCTGCTGGTGATCTCCCAATATACTTCCTCATAAGAGCATTGCTTGGCCAAGTTTTTTAATGAAATCGGTGACAGATATATTATAATGGGGTTTACACATTTTTTACTAGGCCTGTGATTGAGATTTCAAAAGGAACACAGTCCTCTGGTGTTTCCGTGAATTACTGAATTATAAGTGCTACACTGGCACAGTTTACTACCACGGGACTCAGTACTTTTCAAAATATGTTTCCCACTGCAATAGTACCATTCCTTAAATCTTCTGTGTTAGACTTGCAAAAAGTCTTCATATACTTTAAACCTCATAGTTCTACCGTCATTTCTACAAGGTTTAAAGACCTGCTCTGACATTACTGTACTGTACATTTACCCCAAGTACTACATAGTATAACTTCTTCCATGACCTAAAGACTCCCTCTTAGCATTATTAATTTGCTATAACCATCTCAGCATGCTCTGACATATCTCATATTTATGGTTTCATTTGGAGCATTCTAAGCTCCCAGTCCCACTTATCTACATATATTATAGGTTTACACTTAGACTCAAGAGTGAGACCACCACTGTTGTTTGGACTTGAATTCACGACTTAAGCAGTTATTTACTGGTTTTTGCATCTTATTTACAAAACTTAAAGCACTGAATATGAAGCCATCCATACATGTGATATGACTACTCTGAAAGAGGACGTTTGAGTCAGATTAGTATTTTCCCAACTCAGAGCTGCTGCAGGTGTCAGGGGGATCTTGGCGTTCCCAGGGGAATTCCAAACACAGTATTGGAGAGCAGACTGAAACAAACCCTGATATACACAGAAACATCCTGCATATATAAACAATCTCCTGTATTAACCTATTAGGCTTTTGACAGATTTTTCATAAGTAAAGTCAGCAGGAGGGGGAGGGAGGGGAGTGTGTTGTGGTGGTATTTCCTACTATATCTAAACAAGATAAAGAAACTTCCATCTAAAGTAAACCTGAATTATAAATCATTAGGACATAGGTAAAAACAATAAAAGTTAAAATGATAGGAAAAGAGTAAATGCTTAGCTTCCATAAATAATTTTCTTATCTCTGTTTTATAACATAAAATGAAAAGTCTCCAAGCTCACTTATATGCTGAGCTGATTTTAACTCATGTACCACAGCTGATGACAGTATTTCTGCAGTCAGAATTCAACCTGAGCAGCTCCCTTCATTCTCATGACTGGGAAGAAGTACAAGTCATTTCCTCGAGTGATTCTGAGTTTGAACACTGAAAGTTTAACAGACCACATCTGGACCATTCTGCTGATTTCTCACATTTCACTTGGACCATGACTAGCCAGCCTGAAGGGTACAATAATATCAAGATTCTACTTTAATCCAAATAACAAGGAAATTCTGAATTAAGGCTCTTTTAGCTCCATTGGCAGCAAGGAAATTCTGCATTTAAGTTCTTCTAGCTCAATTGGCTTCTGCCTATAGGCATAAAAGTGAAGTAATGCTGTAATAAATCAAGTCTTTCCATTTATTATGTTTTCCTTCATTCAATAAAAACAGCAAGCAGAAAGCGTTCTGAGCTGCTGGAAGATAGCTGTGGATTTGGTGACTTCTTCATCAGATGTGCAAACTGTCTAGCAAAACTATTGTCACATGAGTTACTTTATAAGAAGGAAGAACATGCAATTGTGTTTTATTTTACCACTTATCAGAACTCAGAGTTATAATCTTGGGAAACACCAACTAACATTCACGGGCTTGAAAAACTGGTCCCTGTGTGCTTATTCTAGTAAAAGTTTCAGAAGTACTTAAGATCATACAGGACATAAATACTGGCCAGCTATGATCTGAAAGAAACAGAACTGCAAGAAAGGGTTTATTGAATCAGGCATAGTATTGCATCAATTACACTATCTACAGTCTGGACCTGAGCTGCCCTGCATGAGCTGGCTGAACAGCCCACATTTTTTAGCTGCACTCCTGTGCTCAGAATCAGCTTGACAGTCTGTATACCCCCAGCTATGGACATGCCCTTCCTCTCACTAAGAGGAGACTTAAGCTGTGACTGATGGTAGGAAGTACTAACTTTCTAAGTCTAAGCAAGCTTCTTGTAATCTGATCAAGTACATATTTTTCTATGCACTCTTTTAAAAGGGGAACCTTGTTTTAAAAAATTACTTTTTAGTAAGATACTGCTTTCCTTTAGATTTACTTCAAGATAATGATCTGCATTAGAAAATCTTATTTCCTTAGCTGTAACAGCACAGTTACAGCTACAGCACATGATCTCTAGTCTTTAGTACATCCAGAATGAAAGCATTTTTAAGTGGCAGTATAAATTGTATATCCCTAAATCACATTTTTTAGCCTTGTTTCCCCATTGGCATTACTGGCCAAAGGAATGGGCCACATTAGTTTTCTCTGGTAAGTTCACCTCAGGTAGTCCTAACAAGGACAGAGAGCTGCACTGACTGACACCAGCACTCTGCAGCTTTGTCTTCTCATTTTAGGAACAGTTTTACACAATACATACTCTTTGTCTTCCCACTCAAGAGAACAAGACTGTCATGCACACAGAGATATCAGAAGGCCCTTCTGTGGAATCAGACAGTTCCTCTACCTATTTGAGCAAGATTCAAGATCATGTTTTGCACAGGGATGAAGAAACAGCCCACTGAGACAAGCAAGAACAGTTCTCACAGAGAAGTGCTCGTTTTGGCCCTCTCAAGTGGTGAACTGTAGACCCATTGCTTTTGGCAAACAGATTGGAAGAGCCCCAGAAAAAGAACAGGATGGGGACTTCTGTTAACCTGTACCTCTCACAGTCACAACATGGAAATCTTGGATTTCCTGTTGGATATTCAGCAACACTGTAGCTGTACTGATGTACAGGAAAAGCATGCTGCTACAATCTGGAGATTTCCTTCTGTAAGTGGTGTTGCTAAAGATCAGAGCAGACATAGATGGGACTTTGTCATGGAGGAGAGAAGGCAGTTACTTAAGTTATTTCCCTAAAGTTTGCTTATTGTAGTATAAGAACTAGTATCGCTTTACAGTCTGTATGACTGATTTTAGTTTTTAAGGTCTGAGCCATACCTCACTGAAGACAACAGAATTATGCCTACTGTCTTCAGCAAACTGTATCAGGCCTTTGGTCTCCAGCTAAATGAGGGACAAAAAAGAATTGGATTATAACTTGTATTTTTGACTAGGAAAACTACCAACCCACAGGATTTGAGAAGTAATTCTTCAATTCTGGTATCACACTGTCACCCAGAAAATAGATTACGCTCACTGAAGAGCCATCTCTCCCCTTCTGAGGTCAGTGATAGAAGAGGAAGGGATATCAATCTTCCTCTGACATAGGCAGAGATGAATATGCACCACACACTGTACTTCAGGCTTGAAACTAACATGAAAAATTCCACAATTGTAAATAGTAGGAAGCTAGCAACAAGAGATGGAGAAATAATCTTGAAAACATGAATAAACATGAATAAAGCATTATAGTGAATATTTCAAATGCTTGAGAGCCTTCTGATATTTAAGAGTTTACACAGCTTTTCCATTAAGGTGTTTTAACCTGTCCAAGCTGAATATCTTTCAGCAAAACATTTGGGCTTTGTTTATGTCATTCATACAATACTTTGAGAATTTTTTTTTTTTTTTTTTTTTTTTGCCTGGAACTCCTTATTTTGTATTACTACTTTTAACTGAAGAATGGAAAATAACTTTTACTGAAACTAACAGCAATGAATTTCTAATTGTCAGAAATTATGCAGATCGGTCTCATCAAAAACTATAATTGTTGTAACTAACTTTGTGGTACACTAGCTATCTTTAAAAATGTCTTACTCAGTCCTAGATTTTTGTTTCCTAAACAGTGTACATCCATGAAAATATAAATTAATTATGGAGAGATACTACGCATTGCTGTGCACAAAGGCAAGCATTGATGACTCTGACCACATCAACTCAGGAAACTAGAAAATATAATTTGCACCACAATACGAGTTAAGTTGTACTACATTCGTCATTTTGCACATTGAAGAGACATATATCAAGTTAGTTATCAAACTGGCACTGGAGACTATTCTTACAACAAAGCCCAACAATATTTTACAGTATTTATGATCAGCATAGAATTTTTTACTCGAATAGTGTGTTATAAAACACCACCTCACATCTTAGCTCTTTCGTGTTCACAGCCAGTGTTTTATCTTTAATCCTCTTGTAGTTAATGTTGACATCACACATGTGAATGTATAAATAAGCATACACTGATAGATACAATCCACATCACCAGCAGCACTGTCATCTAGTGGAGGAATCTAATATAGCACAGTACCAAAAGATGTGCTAGTAAAAAATAGTTTCCGTTATAAACTTGAATTACTGATAAGTCTTACTAGAAGTCATAAACAATGCATATTCTACATACATATATCCATCTATATTAGAGAATCATAGGATCATAGAATAGTTAGGGTTGGAAAGGACCTTAAGATCACATAGTTCCAACTCCCCTGCCGTGGGCAGAAACACCTCGCAGTAAACCATTTCACACTAGGCTCTGTCCAATCTGGACTTGAAGACCTCCAGGGATGGAGCATTAACAGCTTCCTTGGGCAACCCATTCCAGTGCCTCACCACTCCCACAGTAAAGAACTTCTTCCTTATATCCAATCTAAGCTTCCCCTGTTTAAGTTTGAATCTGTTACCCCTTGTCCTACCACTACAGTCCCTAATGAAGAGTCCCTCTCCAGCATCCTTATAGGCCCCCTCCAGATACTGGAAGGCTGCTATGAGGTCTCCACACAGCCTTCTCTTCTCCAGGCTGAACAGCCACAACTTTATCAGGCTGTCTTTATACGGGAGGTGCTCCTGTCCCCTGATCATCCTTGTGGCCCTCCTCTGGACTTGTTCCAACAGTTCCATGTCCTTTTTATGTTGAGGACACCAGAACTGCACACAATACTCCAGGTGAGGTCTCATGAGAGCAGAGTAGAGGGGCAGGATCACCTCCTTCAACCTTCTGCTCACGCTCCTTTTGATGCAGCCCTGGATACAGTTGGCTTTCTGGGCTGTGAGCACACACAGCCGGCTCATGTTCATTTTCTCATCAACCAACACCCCCAAGTCCTTCTCCACAGGGCTGCTCTGAATCTCTTCTCTGCCCAGCCTGTAGCTGTGCCTGGGACTGCCCTGACCCAGGTGTAGGACTTTGCACTTGGCATGGTTAAATTTCATAAGGCTGGCATCAGCACATCTCAGAAGCATGTGAAGGTCCCTCTGGATGGCATTCCTTCCCTCAGCGTATCCACTGAACCACACAATGGTTCACACAATTAGCACAACGTTTTCATGCACTTTGGTCAAGCTCTCATACTCCACATTTTGCTATTAATCTTCACCCGGTGTGTAAGAATTATCTAAAGTCAAAAAATAAGGAAACTGAGGTCTGTATGCAATTCATGTAAGGTCAGATAACGAGGACATACATTCCATAAAGTTTTAGGCCCCCCAGATCATGGGCTTCTGTCCTGCTTCTTCCACCCATATAACATCTCCTCACAGTGCTGTTGTTCCACAGGCTGCTCTGGTTATATGAACCCACAGATAAGTAGGTAAAAACATGCAGAATCCCTATATTTTTCAGGCTGCTTCTAGCCTGCTCAACAGATAGTCGAGAGGGTCAGGCTTCCCTTGGCTGACCAGAACTATTTATAAGCCTTGCAGTGCATGACCTGAGAAACCCTTCCCTGACAGAATCAATGCTTTCAGATGTTGCCATCATCACCATGATTTCTAAATGCCCAGTAAACAGGAATCCTTGTCATGTCATGGCACTGTCTGCAAAAATACAGTGTGGTCTCTGTTCTAGAATTCCTCATCTAAATAGCTAGTAAAGGCTTGCAGATTATAACTCTCAAGGAAGAGCAATAAAAGAGCACATTTTGTCTTAGACTGGTCACATAATTTTGAAAGCATCTTGGAGGTACAACACAAAGGAAAAAAAAAGTTTGCTCCAGGGAGAATGGAAAGTCTCAACACCAGTTAGTGTTCTGCCACATTGCTTAACAGTCTTTGGGCCCCACAAAACACACGCAGTTTAGACACTCCACTCCAAGATATTCACTCATGTTCTGAGGGTTATGGCACCCATGACAAGTAGAACACTGATGCTGTGTTGGGTTTTCCATGACCCTTTCTCCAATGCCATAGCTCAAACACAAAAGAATTAGGACTTTTACCTTCTCTTCGTGCATTACTTATCAATTTTCCTGCAGATTTACTCATTACGTGGACTACAAAAAGGGGGCAGTTTACAGCATTTGCTATAGAAATTGCTCTTTGTGTAGCTTCAGCTTCCACTTCTTCAGGACGAGACAGTGCATGCCCCTCAGGGCCAGTTATTCCCATTGCCAGCATCTTCTTTGTGCCCTGAACACACACAAAAACATAAGAGTCAGATACAGTGCAACCATGGTGTCATGAACATGCTGCTGGCCAAATGGATCCTAAATGAGCCACTACAGCTAGCTTGAGAAAAAAAAAAAACAACACCAAAAAACAACAAACAAGGTAGTTATGATTTTTTTTTTTCAAAGGAACTTACTGTTTTGTTATCTGAAATCCAACACTTCTCTTAACAATCATAGGTCTCAGAATACCTAAGTGACTTTAGAGAACACAATCTAAATCTATAAGCTTGCAGGGATAAATCACCCCTTTTGAAAGCCCTGCCCCTCCCTCAATATGTACTCTTAAATGATCACAGCCAGTATCTGAGGTGACAGTACTAACCCCTCACTGGAAAGAAAAAAGAAAGATCTTTACTAAGCACAGATACACATCCAGAGCCTTTGAATGAGGCACCAAAGTTTTAAGAGGCTAAGATTTTGACCCTACTATATTCCAGGAATTTATGGTTTGCTGATTTGAGATTACGTAGCAGTAAATTAATTTCTGTTATGGGACCTGGGGCAGAGTCGAAGCACTATTGACTAGAATATCTGAAGAAACTCAAAGACATCGGTGTATACTCCCAGAACCTCCACACAGCACTAAGATGGCAATAGCAAGTGTGAAGAGACTCTAACTAGGCACAGAGGGACCCGTTAATAATTTTGTATAATGAAATTTTAAGTATGAAGGGTGGGACTTTTGTGCCCAGTCAGTGAAGCTTTCTCCATGCTTCTGGATTTGTTCCTGTTAGATGACTATGTTTGGAGAGACCTAGGGTTAGGCACTGCATACCTGATGTCTAAATACTTGGCTGAGTGTTCCCCCTTTGACCTGGTCTATGATCAAGCTCTGACTGTTCTCTTTGTCAGTCAAGTATACATATATATATTATACTTGCAGTATATTATATTGCAAGTATAACTCTCATTATAACAGGATAATTTGCCTCCTGTCTACCCTGAATCCAAGACTCGAGATTACAATTTCTTATCTCACCACAAGCATCCTTTACTATCTTGGACATGAATGTTTGTCCTCGGTTCCCTGGAATTAAAATAGGGCAGAAAAGCCTTTCCCTGAGACACAGTGACAGCACTAATACAGCTATTGAAGGGCTTATAAATGGCAACAGGACCATTTATATTCTTCACTTTGATGGACAAAATGTCAAATGCCTACCTGTGCAATTAGCTCCCCATTTTCTGCATGGACTTGAGCAACTGTTCCGAGTTCCTTACAGCAGCAAAAAGCTTCATATAACTCCTCATCATTGAGCATATATATATCTTTATAGGCCATAAACATCTTGAAGGAGTTGACGCCTTTGTTTTGAACAAGAGTTTTCATTTCTTCCTTTACCTGAAAGACAGCAGTTTTTAAAAAACAGCAATATTATATTTAACCTGTTAATAATTTTATGTAATGAAATTGTAATTATGAAGGGTGATCCATCAAACATATGTTTAGTCCAAACAGCCCAAGTCACATATTTAAAGACTGACTTATATTATCTTTCTTCTAGAAAATTTATCCTTCAAGTACATAAGCCAGTACCACTGCAGTGTAGATATTGAAGGTACAAGCTAATCGCAGGAAGGGAACGATTTTTACAAAAGAAAGCAAAGCAGCATTTCACTCCAAATAAACCTCTTGATGTTGAAAACACCCAAACCAATATTACAGTCAATGTATTCAATGTATACAGTATGGAGTTTTGAGAAAAACTGATTTTCAAAATTGGATCATAATAGGCTTCATCTTCTGGCAAATAACAGTGACAGAAAGTATCTCACATCCTGAAGCTTTGTCCTGACGCTGAACAACACCATGCAGCCTTTTGGAATGTTTTGTCATCACGCAGAATGGCTCTAAATTCTAGATGGAAGTGTGCTTTTCTGGTTGGTTTTGTTGTTTGGTGTTTTTTTTGTTTGTTTTTGGTTTTGAACGAACTCCTTGATAGGATTCCCTGCTCCTGCTGGGGTCTGGGAAGCCCAGCAAAACTTTATGTCCCAAAGAAAGAAAGATGCAGATTTTAGCCCAAAGCTCTCTCCTATAACCAGTTCTAGCTGGCTAGCTAGAACTAACCTAAACTATGCATTACCTAACTTTGGCTCTCCCTTCCCAGTAAAATGATGGTGACACTAATTGATGCGTATCTGTGATACTATTACAATTTCAACAGGATTAATTCCTTTCAGAGAGTAAAACATTGTTTTTCATCTTGTCTGTAATTATCTGGTTGCATCTGCCTAAGAAAGGTTTGATATAAAACTCAAGGAAATTTTCTGGACTTATCCAGAGGAGGAATAAATACCCAACACAAGATCCTGCTCTGGCACAAATATAGAGGCATGTCATTTATTTTGTTCTTTACTATTTACTATGACTAAGGAAAAGCATTATGAAGAATGTACGTTTTTAATCAATCCTGAAGAGATGACAGCTAATTAAAATGGTATGAAATACCTGTTTTCTTTACCCAGATCTTTTACAGCTACAAAACATCAGACCTTTCTATTTGTTTCATTCTTGGCCTTTAAAAAAAGTTAACTTCTTAACATAAACCAGAACATTTCATTGATTTACACCTCACTAGTTTTATTGGATTTTTCGGTACAATGCCACTGTTCTCTACGGAGGCGGTTTCAAACACACATTCCTCAAACTTCGCTGAAGAATTTATTTTATGTCTTTGCTTTGAGCTAGAAGTTGCAGCCAGTCTATTTAGTGCTTAGTGCTCAGTGCTCAGAATACCAAAGATGGTGTGTTTGCAGAGTGAAGGCTTTGGTTCATATATGTTAAAAGCCAAAACTTAGAGAAAGTACTCATATTTTAAAACGGAATTTACTTAATGTATCTATGTACTGATGCACATCCTCTGAAGATCCAAAGTGGTCTTGTAAAATATGGGTCAGGTTCAGATAGATAGCACCTGAAAAGTTAATTTATTCAGTAAAGCTTTCAGGCTATCAGCAAACATTCACACAACAAGGATGATTTTCCAATATGTAAATTCCAGAAAGGTTTTTCAGATATCTAATAGTCAAGTAACTATTGGCTGCAGTCCTGCTTTGCCTTATGGAGATATTACTGCAGTCAGCAAAAACAAAAACACATCACCACCGCCAAAACAACCCCCAAACCAACAAACAAACAAACAAAACATCACAACCAAGACTCAACAGGAGCGTAAGTTATCAAGTGTTCAAGAAATAAAAGGCAAAATTTATGCAAACACCTCTTACTCCCTCTAATTTGCCTGGTCTTGGTCTTGCACAACTGCATCCTTTAACTTTGAGCAGTATTATCCAAAGACACAGGCTATCTGCAGACTTTCTTTCTTTCTTTTTTTGGGGGGTATTTTTTTTCAAACACATGTACTTTCAGAAGGGTTTGGACTATTTCAAATGTAGTTTTTATACACAAAAATACTATTACACTGCCCGCAAGCTATATTTAGCACATAAGGACTAATTCAAAGCAGGTGTGGCACCGATTCATGGAATTGAAAATCAGCTATTGCGTTTACCTTACTGCTCCACCACGTAACTGCCACATGCAGGGAATAATCACAGCAGACTTTAGGGTCTGCCCAGCTTTTCCATGTGTCAAAGGCTTTGATCAGAGAACAGCCTTTGTGAGGGATGGCAAAGTCAATGATCATAGTGGTTCCTCCTGCTACAGCAGCCTGAAAGGGAGAAAGTTAATACTTAGTATTGGAGAGAATGCAGATTTCCTCCCACCCTCTCTGACTATCTTGATACACTGAAAAGTGAAAACTCACTGAAGAGTCCCCCTGAGTAAAGTCTGTACTTGCAAAATGATTGTGGAGATTAATTTTGCTTCCTTTGAGAAGGCTGTTTTCAAACAGGCATTCAGGAGAATCATGAGGAAGTTCTCAGACTGAAGGAAAAGTTTTCACACAGGTACAGAATCTCACAAGAAGTTTGGAGATAAGTGCAACATTGATGCATCACTGAGTTTCCTGAAACATGTGGGATCACTGAGAAAGAAGAGCACCAGAAGACCATGGTCAACTTGAGAAATGCTTCCTTGGAGTCTATGCAGTTGAATAAAAAAAAGCCTGTATGTCAGGAAAGTATTGACGGGCAGATACAAAATGAAAAAGAACATATTCAGTCTGAAAACCCACTTTGAAAATCCCTAAACTCTTGTCCAATACCAAATTATTACCTTTTTGTGTGTGTGTGTTTTCCTTTAAAGGATCTTTGTTAGTCATTTCCAGAAACCAGATCCTCAACTAACAGAAACTGACCCAATATAGAAATTCCTTTGTTGTAATTGTTGCAGTCTTCCAGATTGCTGTAATGGTTGCAATTAGTCAGAGAAATCCTCTCTGTTTGCTCTGAACAACATCCCCTTGCACCTCAGAGACAACCAATTCAGATAAGATTCATACTACTCTTCCTCTTTCTAGATCAGTTAACCCTTTCCTCTCTTTTACTTATCAATCAGAAATATAACTGTAAATATGTCAGTACATTTTGCAAAGACGTTTAGAGAGTGACAAACATTTGTGAAGCTGAGATGAATTGAGCAAACATTTTCTCCAAGCGAAGTTGATCAAACTGTAATTTTTTTTTCCAACAAGACAGATTGCTTTCTTATTTTTCAAACAGGATTTAGAATTAAAGAATATTTATAGACTTGAAGAAAAAAAAAAGTCATGGGTTGCAAACTCCACTCAAATTCTCTTTTTTACCTAACATCTTTTTTTTTCCTCTCTCTTGTCAGGAGAGGTATTCTGTGCCTTTATTTATTCAGCTGAACGGGTACCTCTTGGCTAATCATTGTAGTGTATTTTGCAATACTTGGAACACAGCTCTGTCTCTTGCCAGAATATCTGCAAGATGATGACCTTCAGTAAATAGCTCTGAACACATTCCACACTTAGACTTGGGTTAAAAGGGCCCACAATATCTAACTTTCTGACATCTGATCACTTGGCGGGATCTTGAGTCTTCTCTTAGGCACTATCTGCTCACCCTGTTTTGTGTATGCAGTCTCTGTTTTGCAGCTTCCCTTACCAGTGACTCAAAAAAGTTATTCAAAAAACTTCAAACCTAAAAAATAAAAATACTTCTTTCTTTTTTGAAAGTTAGCACACAATTCATCTTCCCTACTTTGGGACATGACAGTGGAGGCACCTATATTCCAGTTAGTCTTCATCTTTGTTTTTTTTTAAACAATGAAAACATTCTAAGAATGCAGTCACTAACACCTCACAAAGGCATCTTAAAAGAAAGCCACAGTCACTGCAGTTTCTTTTACATATTTTTTCCTCTCAAACAAAATCATCTTCTGGCTTAAGACACATTTGTTTGATTTCTCTTGCAATGTCAAATTGCTAGATATACTGTTGATAATCAGTTTACAAAAGTGGTCTTCACAGAGAAATAAAGGATTGTTGCGGAAAATGAAAACATATTAATATATATATGTGTACTATCAGATAACGTAAGTATTCCAGAAATCAAATTCTGCATGTCATTCATCCAGGAAACATACCCTGTGATGTCTGTAGACAAGCAGAACAGACATTGTGGGCTTGATTTTTTTTCTCTCCACTTATCACAAGAAGCAGCATGAAGGCCAAAATCTGCTGTGGAAGCCATTATGGTAACTATAATTTTATTTTTTTTTCCAACAAGTATTTCCTGTCTATGGACATCTTAAAAAGACAGCACTGATAGGCCCATATAATACTAGATTCCTTAATTTCTACCAGATAGCTACAGAGTCTAGGGGAAAAAAAATCCATTATCATATTTATAATACCTTTCCAGCAATCAGTTCTGAAGGTAGAAAAGCTGTAGCTTTTCTTCTGCATCTTACGTCTGACTTGGGGAGACGTTATTTTTGGTATAGCAGCCATTTTGGTATGTCTGGGAAGATCTGCTGCTATGGACAAATTAATTTTTTTGTCAAAGTTTTGCAGAATAATTACAGTCTATCATCATGAGCCACTACAACTTCTGTGCTCATTGAAAAGAACAACTCTAGTGCTTAAAACTATCCAGTGTAAAATATTTCCATTCAAATAACAGCAGCAACACCAGCAAATCTATCTTGAGCTGGAACAAATATTGTTACTGAAAGAAATATGCCAGTAATTTAAGGATAGCATACAGGTCATTTGTAGTGCTCCTTTCAGTACTCTGGAGTCAGCATTAGAAGAAGTCAGCTCCTTGTTAAGAGTATGAAAATGTACAATAAGGGGGAAACAAGACAAGGCCAGGTTACACAGAGCTTGGAGGAACTGGTCTAGTAGAAGGTGTCCCTGCCCATAGCAGGGGGTTGGAGCTAGATAAGCTTTAAGGTCTCTTCCAACCTAAACCATTCTATGACTCGATGATTAGACCACTCAGACAATCTAAAGTGCACTCTCATGACATGATGCGGCATGCAAGAAATTAAATTTCCTGCTGAAGAACAGGGTCAATCTTAGCAAGACTGCAAACTTTACATGTTCTTAATAGTTGCGTGATTACTGCATCACACTATTTGTTAAAATGAGTTAACTTTTTCAACTATTTCAAAGAGGAAAACTGGTAGTTTGCAGACCACAAAAAATGCACACTGGTGAAATCCATTTATTTTGAAGGCATGCATTACACTATTGCTTTCTGCTTTTTAGCAAACCCCAGTTCTGCTGTGAGAAGTACAGGATATAATAGGCTGCCTGAGGATGCTGTCTAGCAGACAAGCAAAGTAGGGCAGTGTGATCCCTTCTGTAGGCAAAGGATTTCAGCATGCACAGCAAAGCTTAGGGAAGTACCTTGCAAATTTGAGGGAGCTCTGTATTTTTACTATATGGAGATAATGCATAATACTGTTAATAGTAGCAATTGATACACTGACAATGCAAGGAATGCAATGAGATCAGCTAAAAAGCTGGGGAAAACCCCAATCCCACTCCACATATAAAACTGGGAGAAATAAGACACTTTTAGAAAGCGTATTTGAACTGGACTATCATCGAGAGACACAGTGAGGTCTGCAGTGAATGAATGACAGAAGAAAAGCTTGCATTGCCCCTTGCTAAAAGTTCAGATTACCACATAGGTGCTTCCAGGGCACTAAGGAATTACACTGTTGCTTTAGATAACCTTTGCTCAAAAAAAGTATAAGGCTTGTTGCATGCACCAATGCAAGCTGTAGTCTGCATGAGGACAACCAGGGCAAATGACTGCACTTAACTTGTCACCTGCAGCCAGAAATGTCTGAAAGAACCAAAATAACACACCGGTTGAAGGTGGACCTCCGAGTATCCCAACTGCTTATGACAGTGTCCCAGCCAAGGGACAGTAACAATTGCCAGTGCTTGATTCACATCCATTGTTTTGTAAGTACTACTGAATAACCAGCAGACATCCCTTTCTGCAAAAGCCCAAATGCACACACAGACACGTATATATGCACCCACCTTGGTTCCTGAATAGAAGTCATCTTTTGACCTGCTGCCCATAAAAGGGAACTGCATGTGTGTATGGGTATCGATGCCTCCAGGGATCACCAGCCTGTTGGTTGCATCCAGCACAATGAGTCCAGTCAGTGGCTCAGGGTTTAGGTTTGGTCCCACTTGCTGCACCACTCCATCTTCCACATACACGTCGGCCTCCACAGAAAGGTCATCATTCACAACTTTCCCCCCCTTGATCAGAAGCCTCTGCTGCGCCAGCTTTTGGGGTGGCGTGGGAGCCTAGAAGGCAAAAGTGAGGCTCAGAAAGCTGCTCTTGCCTGGAAGTATTTCACTGACCACCCTTCTCCCAGAGCAGGGGTTATCTCCAAATGGTTCTAAACAAATACCACACAGTGCTCTTTAAACAGAACTGCCCCTCTGCCCCTGGCAGCTCCTCCTACGGCCTCCAATAGAGGACCAATGCCCTGCAAATGCAGGGAAATGCCCACACGGTGGCAGAGTGTTGGCTTCGGGCCCTTTGCGCTCCAGAATCTGCCTTGAAGAAAACAAGGCTAGGCTTTCAAAAGTGCCTGACTCACGGCACTGGCTCCATCCAGCCTGCCCTGTATACCCCAGGGTTTGAAACACGCTGGGCTGTTCTGAGAGTGTGGCCATTCATCAGCTTGTGATGCCCAAAGGTGACCCAAGCTCTTTGCATCGGGGTTTGAGGAAACCAAGGGTGACCTGAGCTCTCCACAGGAGTGGCCAGGGAGCCCAAGGGTGACCTTAGCTCACTGCGGCTTGTGCAGTGGGGCCGGGAGAGGACTGGACTGCAGTGCTCCAGGCACTGCGCCCATCTCAGCCGAGCCCCACAGAGCACTATGGCGGGGTCCACCCTGCTGCCACGGGACTGAGCCACCGCCGGTGCACATCAGAACTACTCCCGAGCTGATTCTCAGGTGATCACTTGGAACACACAACCCTCGGGACCCAAACACACACACACCGCAGTGCCACTGCACGGACACTGCAAGGGCAGGCGGGGAACACACACACACCGCAGTGCCACTGCACGGACACTGCAAGGGCAGGCGGGGAACACACACACACCGCAGTGCCACTGCACGGACACTGCAAGGGCAGGCGGGGAACACACACACACCGCAGTGCCACTGCACGGGCACTGCAAGGGCTGGCGGGGAACACACACACACCGCAGTGCCACTGCACGGACACTGCAAGGGCTGGCGGGGACAGCGCCCTGAGGCTGCAGGGCCCCTGCTCACCCTGGCAGCAGGAGGAGGTTCCAGCGGCACAGTCGTGTGGCCGCTGTCGAAGGACCACGTGAAAACCATCTTGCGGTAGCCGCCGCCTTGCGCCATTGTGCGCCACCGCCCCCTTGCCCTGGCCGCTGTGCGCAGCCCAGCGCCCCGCTGCTCCCCCCCACCCGGTGCCGCGCGGTGCCCTCCGCACAACTGCCACCGGCCCGCCCCTGACCGGCCCGGGCCGCGCAGGCAGCAACGGCCGCTCCGGCCGCCCTTTCACCGGCCCTCAGCCCTCGCGGGGCCCTGCCCGAGGGCCGCGGCGGCGGGACCTTGGGAAAGAAGGGCCGGGCTGCTGCGGTGGGCCTCGGACAAGGCTGGGTGGCCCCGCTGGGAGAGGCGGCCTGTGGGTTTCAGAACACAGGCACGGAAAACAGGGGGGAAGGTGGAATTACGAGTGGAAAATGAGCTAAGAGCTTGGAGCAGAAGAAGAGGGAAGACGTGCTCTGCCCCACGCCAGAGGAATGCGCTTATGTGGACTTTTCCTGCTGCCTCCAGTAACCTGGGTTTGCACGCTCAGCAGCGACACTGCTCAAGCGTGTCCCTGAAACTGCTGAGCACCAGCATCTTCATCCCCTCGACCTCTTCTAGGTCAGTGAGGAATGCTTCAGAAGACAGAATAGTGTCCCTGAGGGCTGTGAGAGGGCGCACACATATATGGCCAGAAAGACACTTAGATGACACTGGATTTGGAAAACAACCTTCCCATCAGCAAGTGATGTTCCTTTTCTCCCAGTGGGTAGGAGAACTGTACCAGATATTTGTATCTGAGCATCCCAGATTTTGTCTTGTGCCTCACCTGCGTGGTGGGACAGAGACCCAGCAGGATTCATTGTTCCACACAGCAACAGAAAAGCTCACAACTCATTTGGAAAAGCAGAGCAGAGAATGAGAGCAATAAAGTGAAATGCCCAAGGCTTGTGGGGCAGCTGTGCCTGGCTGAATGGACAGGAAAGAACAACCTCCACCTACCATGTCTGCCACATTTAAAGCCAGTAGAAAGAAAGGGACCGACATACTGTGATGAGAATTCAGGCAGGAACTCTGGCTTGCTAATTACAATGGTATCAATGAGCCAGGAACAGCTGAGTTCCAGCAATATGATTTTTCAGATGACAAGCTAGGGATTAAAGATGCAGGAAGGAAGTTAAGTGAGTTAACTGAGGAGAGGGGGTGGCAAAGACAGAGGTTCCTTTGGTCACATGTAGTCATGTGGGGTGCAGCAGACAGGTTCATATGCCTTCCCAGATGGGAACAGCATCCACAGATTATTTGGTATTTATTGGCAAAGAGGATTCACCCTGAATTCCCCAGCCTGTTGCCAAAACTGCCAACTTAAACCAGTGACTTTCTTACTATTTCTTCGTGTTCAATGAACGTTTAGTTATTTCTATGGAACGAGTTTCTACACGACAGACGTAGATAACCGCTTCCAAGCATGCTCTTGTGCTAGGGGCAGCGGTAAACCTTTCCTACTTAAATCCTTCTCCCAAATTGGGCAGAGAGAGATCTGGAGGCAGGCCTGCCACCACACAGCAGACTATGGTAAACACCAGTGTACTCCGTTCCCTTTTTTTTTGTGAGTTGCACAGGGAAGAGCTGACCCTGATCAAAATCCTGTTTACCTCTGTTTCTGGATGCCATTGGGCTTGAGCTGCATTGCCCCTCTTCTGATTTCCTCCTGGCTAATTTAGACTTTGTGGATTGTACTCTTAAGTGTCTAAACCTTCCTACCTGTAACTTCATGTCCACATCAGAGCTGCAGGCCCCCAAACTAGCGAGGTAATTGTCAGGTCTTATAATGCTGTGCTTAGGAAAACTGAATTTATCCCAGAAGTGGTTTTGAACACATTAAATAGGTTATTGGTAGATAATGAGATTCTGTCTAAGCAGTCCTTTTATTTAGTCTGTTTGGACGAACAAGATAATCTCACATCAGTTGCATTTATGTACATTTGGTAAATATTCGATATTTCACAGCTCAGCTGTCCCTGGAAGTAATGGCCTGAAATACTACCTGTGGGACAGAAATAATCCTTATCATACTGTAAGAAGACAATTGATCCCATATTCTTAGTCACCACTGCATAAGTGTTGCTGCTTCAATGAGGCTTCTGGTTCCAAATTGGCTTCGTAACCTTCATTCAGCCACAAAACATTTTACTTTTTGTCCTTTCCTTTGCACAGTTTAAAACAAAACTTTGCTCTGTAATCAGTACTGTTGTACTGGTTTGGGCTGGGAGAGGCTTAAATTTCTTCACAGTAGCTGATGTGGGGCATGCTTTGGATTTGTGCTGAAAACAGTGTTGATAACACAGGGATGTTTTGGTCACTGCTGAGCAGGGCTTACAGCGTCAAGGCCTTTTCTGCTTCTTGCCCCACCCCATCAGTCATTGGGCTGGGGATTCACAAGAAGTTGGGAAGGGACACAAGTGGGAGAGCTGACCCCAAATGACCCAAGGGATATTTCACACCATATGGTGTCATCCTTGGTATATAAATGTAGGGGAATAAGAAGGAAGGGGGGGTGTTTGGAGTGATGGTGTTTGTCTTCCCAAGTAACCATTAGGTGTGATGGAACCCTGCATTCCTGGAGATGGCTGAACCATGGAAGTAGTGAACTAATTCCTTGTTTTGCCTTGCTTCTGTGTGCAGCTTTTACTTGTCTATTAACCTTTTTCTCAAATCTGTGAGGTTTTGCGCTTTTGCACTTTCACCTTCTAATTCTCTCCCCCATAGAATCATAGAATAGTTAGGGTTGGAAAGGACCTTAAGATCATCTAGTTCCAACCCCCCTGCCATGGGCAGGGACACCTTATGCTAAATCGTATCACCCAAGGCCTCATCCAGCCTGGTCTTGAACACTGCCAGGGATGGAGCATTCACAACCTCCCTGGGCAACCCATTCCAGTGCCTCACCACCCTAACAGGAAAGAATTTCCTTCTTATATCCAACCTAAACTTCCCCTGTTAAAGTTTTAACCCATTACCCCTTGTCCTGTCACTAGTCAAATCCTAAAAGAGGAGAGAAAGGAAAGAGTTTTAGCTATCAATCTGCTTATTTCTCCATACTTCCAGTGACTTGGCAAAAGTACAAGACAGAGTTCCTCCTTGTCATTTCAGTACTTACCATATTTTGGGGCAACTGAATTGTAGCTCGTGTCTTGGAGGTGTGTAGTTACCAACTGGTTATTTTCAGAAACCCACAAGTAGGGAATAAAAGAGATACAACCAAAACACCTCACAAACCAACAGAACACACCCCACAGAAACTCTCATCACAGCTACAGGAAGATTGAAGCTGTTGATAATTTGACAATTGCTGCAGGAGAGTGAAACAGGCCAGTAAACATTCACTTTTCAGAAAGGAAGCAAAAGCTCATCCTAACAGGACAAGCTGTGATTAACTCTGATCTGCAGCGAGTATTTAATGTAAAAGAGTCACTGAAAAGGTATTTGTGTCCCAGACTTGGTCTGTGACTTCCCTAGACTGAATCCAAGCTTTGCCACAAGTTCCCGCTTTGGCATTTAGTTAGGGAGTAGAACACAAGATACTGTAACTAATTCCAGCATCCTCTCCAGGAACCTGTTTTGAAAGGTGATTTACCAGCAGTACTTGCTGAACTTGTCCAGAAAATGGACTTTACTTTGGAAACCAAACAAGCCTTTGCAGCATCTGAAGCTCAGTCAGCCCACTGAGTTTCAATCCAAATCAAATCACAAGTGTGATATGTGAAAAGGAGCAATGACAAGCTCTTTCTATACTTGGAAAGCTTTACATGAGGAAAAAAGTTGCCTCACAGTAACCTACATTCTTCAAAGCCTTCACATGAAAGTGATTTATTACAGAAGATAATTCCAGTGAGTCATTCTGACCTTTGTTCAAAATGCCCCAGCATTGTAGCAAAGCTAAATCAAGAATGACTTAAACAAGGTACTAATTCATGCTCCCCAGAATAAAAAGAAATGAAGTAATATGCTTTAATGGAACTCTCCATAAAAACAAGCCAATCCCTTCCCCTCACCCCAGTCACCAATACATTAATCAAAAGAAAAATCAAGCACTTACTTAAAATCACTGAGAAAAAAACAACCAAAAACCACTGCAACAAATTAGCCTCATACAAATATGAATTTTATTTACAATTTTCCAAATTCTCAATCAAATCCAACTTCTCAGTTAAATGTGTAGCATTTCTCCATAAAACAAATTAAAAGTGTTCTTTTTACATCTGCAGGATGGAGTCCATAGGTACATGCTATTTGGGGCATCTAATGGGAGACATTTAGGTCATTACGTGTGTGTTTAACATTGAAAGTGTTCTGTGAAGTATCTGCCTCAGGGACAAACATTTCCATAATCACTTTCTAATGACGGTCAGTTAAGAAGGTTTAAAAACCCAGTATTTTATACCAGGACATACTGTTCACATATATTTCAGGGTGTGTTACCATGTTCATATTGCAAAGTTGCCTGCTCTATAAGCAATGCCACTGAAATCAGACTAAAGGTTACCCACAGATTTAGATATTATTCAATGTGAATAAAAATGGCCATTGATGACTTTTACTCGAGTATGTGTACTTATGGGCCAATCTGTACCTCATCTGGTACCAGTGCGATGTGATCTGTTCTGAAACTTGAAAACCACATGGGTTATTGTAATAGAATCTTTTACAACTGTATTGCACATAAGGTTCCTCAAAAGCACAAATCTACATAATGTGTCCTGAACTCAGAATTTACCTGCTAACTCTCATGAATAAAATCAACCAGGTGGTAAAATTGTTTATTTTTCTCATCCCAGTGTCTGTGAATGAAGAGAAGAGGGAGAAGATATATACACTTTGGAATCCATTCAATTGTTTGTTTCTTCTGCATGTGATTTGTACTTCAGAGATGAGGATTTAAAAAGAAAATAAAAATAAAAGAAAAATAAAAAGCCAGACAGACCTTGGATTTATCTTTAAAAGTACCTCAAAAACATAACAAAAATGCAATTTAATTTTGATACATATTAAAACATTTTAGTCAGTTCTGCCCGACAGCATAACAACGACAGAAATGCACAAGACTTTAAACATGCTTTAAAATGACATTC